AATCTATATTTATTTTTGACATTCTATTCAGAACTTTTCACCGAACAGCTTTCGCTCTAATTGGTGACTGTGAAAGTTTATTTTAAAAACAATCGCTCAAACATAGTTATTATATTATTATTATATGGAGGAAATTTACCAGTTTGTTTTATATTTTTTGTTATTTTCCTCTTTTTTACCAATTGGCCACCATGACAAATGTATGTAGTTTGGCTGTCAACACTGCGGCAATCAATCAATCAATCATAAGGCCAGATAGCTGGAAAACCTGGTTAACCCAGCCCAAGCTTAACTGATCCAAGTTATTTCACCATTTGCAGGCGACAATTAAAATGTTTTCATACATCACATTTTATGCATTGCTTATTTATGAGCCTAACACAATGAGATAAAAAGAGTCTGCAATTATAATTGTAATTTCCATGAAATGTCGTTCGGGGGAGTAACTAAAAGTCACTACCAAGCGGAGCGTGAACTTGTTTTTGGTCACTGAGCACGTCGGGGGCTGTGTAATCACAAGCTCCCAATGAAATGCCAGAGAGTCAAAGCCTTAATTAGCCGGGCGGCAGCCTAATGACCCCAAACCGTTAGCCAAGATAGTGAAGAAGATGCATATGTAAGTAAGTAAGCATTTGGATAGTGCAGCCGTTAGCCAGCAGCCACTTTCCACCTTGCTGCGCGTTCCATAAATAAATAAAAACTCAATGTGTTCGACAGCAAAAACTGGCTGTGGTTACAGAGACTAGATGTGGTTCACGCCCGCCTCGTTGGAGCTTTGGATTTCACTATCACTGGGATGCAGAGCACTTTTCCGGACTGGTTTCGGAAAAATTGAATTTTTCTTTCTTTTTTATACTGGGGGCCTTGGGGATCTTTGGAAACTGTCTCATGTCATCAGCAATTGGCTCTTCGGCCATTTGAAAGGTGTTTAATGTCGTGGTAAATGCTGTTCGAAGCGCCAGCAACGGGCATTGTCACCTTGCGGTGAAAACACGAGCACAGAATGGTAATTGCAGATGAAATTTCATTTAATAAAAACCAAAACCTGATTTATTCGATTGACTCCAGTTGCATTGCTCTACGTGCCTCTGCGCCGAACTCTTAAATCTCCAGCTGGGAAATTGGAGAAGTTGGCAAATAAAGTGCTGGTTTTCATTTGGTTTTAAAACTTAAAACTTAGCCAATAAAAATATGAAACTGAAAGTAACGTTTCCTTATTAACACATACATATATCTTTATTTTATTAACTCATATCAGGAGGTCCGTCCCAACACCATTCCGGATTTAAAAGTAGACGCTACATTCCGAAAAGTCGCAAAAAATGCTATAACTTTTGCGCTGTGGAAAATCGATGAGGATCGACTGGAGGCTGTGACCCGAACTCAGTATGGAACCTTCTATGATAATTGCGCCTACATCGTTTACGCAGCTAGTTTGGCCGGTCATTATGCCAGCCACGAGACCATCGTACGTAGCTTTATTAACATGGTTAACTACATTTTTTAATGGATATTCGAAACTCCTCCTACATGTTTATAGACACGCGAACAGAAGCCGAATGTGACGCTGGAGCGATATATCCACTACTGGCTCGGCGGAAATGTCAGCGAACAGAACCGCTCCAATGTGGTGCACAAAATCCAGGAGCTGGACTCTTATCTGGGGAACGTGGCCTCCATTTATCGGGAGACGCAGAGTCACGAGAGTGCCAGATTCCTTTCCTACTTCAAAAAGGGTTACGAGTGAGTTTTTGAATGAATTTTCTTAACCAAATAATACTCTATATTATTTTTCACCTCATAGCATTCGGTCGGGATCTCTGGTAGCCGCCTCTCCGCGGCCACGCCTCTTTCAGCTGCACTCCCGCAAATGGCTGCGATCCATTGAGCATGCCACCATTGATTGGTCGCACTTCAACTCGGATTACATAATGGTTCTGCAAACGGATAGTCTGATCTTCGTGTGGATCGGTCGCTCCAGCTCGGGTATCGAGCGAAGAAGTGCCCTATCGTGGGTCCAAAAGCATTCGAACGGATCTCCCATAACCATAGTAGACGATGGCTACGAACAGGCCATGTCCCAGGAGAACAAAGATCTGTGGAACTCCCTGCTGCCGCTTAAGAAGCGAGTGGTGTGTCAGGCCAGCCAGTTGGTCAGCGAATACACCGACTACAATAGCAACAAGTTTCGGATTTACAAGTGCAATCAGCGCGGGCGACTGCACCTGGATCAACTGGACGTCGGCTTGCCGGCCAAGGATGATCTAAGCGATGCCCATGGCGTGTATTTGCTGGATAACTACGGCCAAAGCGTTTGGCTGTGGGTGGGTGCTCAGGCCCCGCAAGCAGATGCACTTTCTGCCATGGGAAATGGCAGGGCCTTTGTCAAAAAGAAGAAATACCCGGATAACACTCTGGTGGTGCGCGTTCTGGAGGGTCATGAGCCGGTGGAGTTCAAGCGGCTTTTCGCTAACTGGCTGAACGTGTGGCAGGAGAATACACGCAGCCATAAGCCTGTGTCCACGAAGCTGGGAAAGCTGGATGCCCACTCTCTCTGTGAGCGTCCGAAAATGGCAGCGGACACCCAACTCGTGGACGATGGCAGGGGAGAGCGAGTGCTGTTTCGCATCCTTGGGGATCAGGTGCAGGAGCTACCAGCCTCCAAGACGGTGGTTTTCACCACCAACGCCAGCTACGTAGTCAAGTACAGTGTGCAGTGTGCCACTGTTATACCCGCTGACTTGGCATCGGTGGGCATTAAATCCATCATTTACCAGTGGAACGGATCGGAGGCCTCATCAGAGTCAATTGCCAGAGCAGACAAGTTCGCCAGAGCCAGCTTCGAGGCGCTTAAGGAACCCGGGATGTTCGTGCAGCTGTACGAGTTTGATGAGCCACCGCATTTCCTGCAGATCTTCGAGGGCAAACTGATCATCATGCGGGGACAACGCGGCGAGGTGCTCGGCAACGGAAGCCCAAAGGGAACTGTCTTGACGGAGACTTTTCTGCTGAAGGTCTATGGCGATGCTAGCTACAACTCCAAGGCGGTGGAGGAGACCCCCTTGTCTTCGATCAGTTCCAAGGACTGCTATGTGATCAAGACCAGCCATGTGTGGGTGTGGTGCGGCCAAAGTAGCACGGGAGATGCCCGAGAGATGGCCAAGTCGGTGGGCGCCATGCTGGGGGAGAGTTCACTGGTCCTCGAGGGCAAGGAGAGCAAAGAGTTCTGGCAATCGGTGGCCATGTACTTCAACCAAACGCTGGTGATCAACGGCAATGGAAACTCTTGTTCCAGCAGCACTAGCAGCAGTAGCAGCGGTGCCGGGAGCATGTGCAACGGCAGTTCCTCCAACAGTGGCAATATATCTCCAACCCTCAGCAACAATTGCTATTTGAACACCAGTGTTCCAAGTAAACCGAGGCCGCCGGTCCAATTATTTTTGGTCTGGTGGCAGCAGAGTGCGCTGAGGTACGAGGAGATACTCGGCTTTGAGCAGCAGGACCTCAGTGCCGACTGCACCTATATCCTAGACACGGGCACTCTCACCTACGTCTGGCTGGGATCGCAGGCTCCGAATCAGGAGCGTTACACAGCCATCGCCCAAAGCTATGTGCAGAATGCCCCATTTGGACGCAGGTCGGCCACAGCCTTGGCGGTGGTCAGGCAGTTTCAGGAGCCAAATGTCTTCAAGGGATTCTTTGAGTCCTGGCAAAACGATTACGGCAAGGTAAAAGGATTAATTCTGTTGTTTTTACCTTATAATTTATGTTCAATTTCATTTTAGAATTTCTTGTCATACGAGGCAATGCGAAAGGATCTGGGCACTGCAGTTCCCATCATATGTAGCCTCACAAATAATGGATCTGCCTTGCTCTTGAACAACAGACAGAAGGATTTCGATGGTCACAAAAAGTATCCCCTGATGGTGCTCACCCAGGAGATGGACATGTTGCCCCCAGAAATAAATCCTCTGAAGAGGGAGGTGAGCATGATTTAATAACTAAAAATACCAATACTTTTTCTAAAATGAATTTATTCTGTACTCAGGTTCATCTCACCCATGATGATTTTGTGTCGGTTTTTAAAATGTCATTTTACGAATTTGACGAGCTGCCCAAATGGAAGAAAATGGAGTTGAAAAAGCAGTTTAAACTGTTTTAACTTGTTGAGATGCGTCTGGCGATGATGGCGCACTGTAAATAATGCCTACTTATAATGAACACAATGAAGCAGCAGTTAGCAGTTGAAGCAATTTATGTTAAATATACACACTTTACGTAGACGTAATAAAGCAGAAACATGAATTTTGTATGCAAAATAATAATGAAAATCTATTGAGCCATTAGGTAGTTTCCACCTCCTCTGAATCTGGTTCATCGCCACTGTCCGAACCTGGTCGATAATGAAAATGAACATATTAAAGGTAAATATTATACAAAAATATGAAGAAAAACTCACTGGGAAACAAGAGCCCGAAAATAAACTCGAAAATTCCACCGAGTAGATCCCAAAACATTTTCGATCCGCTGTGCTCAACGTTTTGTAACTAAATACAATGGCATTTTCGGCTCGGGATTGCTTTTGACCCAGACCCCTTTAATGAGCCATGACAAAACGCTCGACCAATTCGGGCTTAATTCGAATCAAAAACGATGGCATGATTTGGGTCAAAATATATATGATTGCCTATTGAAAAGCTTTTAAAGGTAAATGTTCATATCAAGTTTATTTGCTTTTCGTTACATCACGCTTGCCGGCTTATTATTTATGTTAGCTGTCGTAGTAGTCACCAAAGTACTCCTCATCAGCTTTGTAATGAAGAAAATATATAGTTTAGGTCTGGAAAGATTTTACCAAATTAATTAACCTATTACTTATGTCCGAGAAGAAGAGGTCATTGAGGAAACTCCAAAATATTTCCGGCAGCTCACAGCAGTCCATGGTGTAGCTTCGATTTGACTTGTATTAGTTGCCAAGAGTTTTTTTTTTTTCATTTATAGCTTTCATTTTGAAGGTCAAAAGCGGAATTTAACTTAATTGTGGATATTATAATGGAATGGTTGAATATTATTTTGTGCCACCTAGGTGCTAGAGTCGTAATCATCATCATAATCAGAGGAGCTGTCAGCTGTAAAGGCAACAATAATACTCTATGTCATTAAATTGGGTTTTCTTTATTACTTATCCAGCTCGACTTCTCCTATATCCTCCAACTTACTGCCGAACAGCATGTCACCAATGATTTCGAATATCATTCCAATTATTTCGCAGTCCTCCATGGCCTTTGGTTCTTTTGCTTTACAAACTTTTACTAACATTCCATGCGATAAAAAGGTTGTATTTATATACAAAAATAAATGTACCTTTTGAACTTGGTATATTTCCATGGTTAATGTTAGCAATTTAATTAATATCAACCGATTTGGGCTTTAAATGTAGTAAATCTGTCTGCCACCATGACATCGAAAATGTTCCAAAGCTTAAAAAGATAGTTTTATTCAACTTTGTTGTTTTCCTAAAACGAATTCACATTTATAACAAATTAATAAACATCATAACCATACATGGGTCCCTCCATGTAGGCCTTCTGTTGGTCCGTGGAGTTGCGCCGAATCCTCCTGCCAATTGGCTCCAGATCTGCATAGCACTTTGGAAAAACCCTCTCCACCGCAGCAATGGCATCTTCTTTGCTTATATTTCTCACAGCCAGAACAGAGGCCAGGGCCTTGGTTTTCACACAGTTCTGGATTAAAGGTAATAAAGCTATTTTTAAAAAAATATATAAGAGCATTTCCATTTCACCCACCTGATGCGCCTGCTTGACATTAAAAGGTGAGGCATCCCCCTGGAACATGGCACTTAGGAATGAGCAATGCGCCAGATTCGCCGCCCTGATCTCCGTGCAGGCCAGATGGTCTACATTCCGGAAGTCCATATCATTGTTGCAATAATCAAACATGTGGATCATCTCGTGGGTGAGCACTCCGTGAACCATGCTCTTGTTCTTGGCCATATTTTGGCACACCACGATCTGGTTGAGCTTGGGATCGTAGCCGCCCGTGACCGTGGGATCGCACACTTCGCAGGAGATGTGGCGGCGCAAATCAATGGGGCAGCCGGAGCTCTTCAAGGCTCCCATCATTAGTTTCACCAGTGGTCCATTTTTGACACACCAATAAACATTCTGCTCGCACTTGAAGCGATCGATGTTCTCCTGACCCTCCATTCCAAAGAGTACCTTGGTCCATTTTGGCTTGAAGGTCTCTCCCTTCCGCTCCGGGTACAGGTCATAGCCCCAATCCTTCGGGCTGGTTCCATCGGAGGATTCCGTTGTTTCTTGACTGGCAGAAGCATCGGAAGCTGGTGAATTGGTTTTATTCTGTGCCGCGGCGGGTGGGGCTTCTACATCGGCTGCGTTCGTTGCCTCCTTGGCCCAAACTTTAGTCAGAAATTCCATTATCTTGTGGGTACTTTTGTGCCTCAAATTTGGTTGAATAACAAACCGGCAGCTGATTGCCGGCAGAGTTGCCACGTCGCAGAACGGGCAGTGGCGTCCGCAGGGTCTCGTTGGAATTAACCACCTGTGCACGAAAATGAAATAAAATGGTTTATTTATTCTTATATTATTCTAAAACAGATTTGTAACATTAGCATTTTAATTAAATATTATTTATTTACATATATTAAAAAATATTCCTGCCCCTGGGTGAAATCGATAGCCACCGATAACACCACTGCCATCTCTAGAGCTCCACCGGCATTTACGACTCGTAAAAACCATAGCAAATTCCACGTAAGATTTACAGTACAACACAGGCGACCTAAATTAGGGTATTAACTAGGATTAGCCAAAACCAGCGCCAAAATGAAGAGCTTGGAAGGCGGTCGAATGGTGCTCATACCACTTGTTGTGGCCCTGTTGATCCCGAACGAAAGTTCTGCCACCCAGGCTCCACGTCCCCTCGGCGTTTCTCTGGCCAAGGCTGCGCTTTACCAGCCGCGGGCGGACAACAGTTGGACCTGCTTGGACGGGAGCCGGAGCATACCCTTCGCACAGGTCAACGACGACTTCTGTGACTGTGCGGATGGCAGCGATGAACCAGGCACAGCCGCCTGTCCGCAGGGCAAGTTCCATTGTTTGAACAAGGGGCATCAGTCGGTGGACATACCCAGTTCGCAAGTGCAGGACGGCATCTGTGACTGCTGCGATGGCAGCGATGAGTCACTGGTGGTTGGGTGCACCAACACGTGTCATGAACTCGGGGCCGCTGCTGCCGTTCAGCGCAGGAACGAGGCTGAGCTCCACAAACGAGGAGCCGAGCGGCGCCAGGAGATGATCACTAAGGGCAAGCAGATGCGCGAAGAGCGAGAGGCACGCCGTCAGGAGCTAAACCAGCGGCGTAAAGAACAAGAACTTCTGCACACCGAAAAGCAGCAGCTCAAGCAAAACGCCGAGGCTCTGGAGTCGGAGGCTGTGGAAATCTACAAAGAGCAGCAGCGTGAATTAGATGCGGAGACTGCTCAAGCTGAGCAGGAACCGCAGCAGATGCGCCAGGAGGCCTCGCTCAGCTTCGTTCGGTACGACACCAACAAGGATGGCTTCGTCGAGGTCACTGAACTGATGGTGGACATGAATCTGGACAGCGATCGCAACGGCGTAGTCACCGTTGAGGAGGCCAAGTATTTCCTAGACGAGCGTGATCGCGTTGATCTAGACGCGTTCATTACGCTCGCCTGGCCCCGGATTAAGCCTTTAAAAATGCTAGCCGAGGGTCTTTTCCAGCCACCGCAGCCAGAGGTGGTGGCTTCAGAAGTTGAAGGCCAGCAGGCGGAAGCGACCACCGAAGAAGCCCAGCCCACGCCACCAATAATAAGCGAAGGTAAATAGCGATTTTATTATCAAACCATACCAGACATTCGATCATTTTTCCCTGCTTCTCCAGAGCAAGCTGAGCTGGCAGGTGGTGAGGACATCGATGCTGACGAGGAAGGCGAAGAGGATCAATATGAAGACGAAGAAGAACCCGATGTGGGTGTTGGTGAAGCTTCTGCCGATATAGAAGATGCCGCGCCACCAGCCTATGACCCCGAGACTCAGCGTCTGGTCCAGCAAGCCAACGAAGCGCGGAATGCCCTTGAGGAAGTAGAGCGTAGCATTCGTGAGATCGATCAGGAGATCAAGGAGATTGATGAGCAGGAGGGCAAGGACTATGGCCTCAGTCAAGAGTGGGCGGTGCTCGATGGCCAGTGCTACACCTTCGAGGATAGGGAGTATGTATACACTCTCTGCCCCTTCGATCGCACCTCGCAGAAATCCAAAAACGGTGGTCCCGAAACCACCCTGGGTCGCTGGGATCAGTGGATCGGCAAGCCGAAGAAGTATTCCCAGCAAAAGTACGCCAACGGGGCGGCCTGTTGGAATGGTCCTCAGCGTTCAGCCATTATCAACATCAAGTGTGCTCTGGAGCCCAAGATCACGGCCGTCAGTGAGCCAAACCGTTGCGAATATTACTTTGAATTCGAGACTCCCGCCGCCTGCGATAGTGAAGCTTTCCAGGCTGAAACGGACAGCCTGCACGACGAACTCTGAAAATATCAACCAGCACAGACCAATAGAACGTCAAAAGTACATATGTGCTTAGCATACGAGTTTTAGAGATTTGGGGATTGTATTTTAGTTGTAAACGAAAAAAGAACACTAGTTTTGTCGACATCATTCCCAAGCTGAAGCAGGAAGGAAAACCATCAAAAATTGTAGCAAATTAATTGAAAACTATGCATTTAAGTAAAAAGTAAATCAAGTTTCATTTTGAATAAAGTGTAAACACACCTAGTATTTTTTAAAAACTATAAAGAAACACAGTTTAACAATTATATTGGAAAATTATGACTAGTTATATTTTCCAGAAGGTTTAACAACCAAGATCTATTAAACTATTAGTGTCAGGCACCGAAAAATTTATTCAGAATCTGCATTTAAAAAAGAAACAATCACAAATCGAATCCTTTGCAAGACAGCCTGTAATGTATTAAAAACGACACGTTCCCAAAAAACAATAACAAACCCTTTTCGTGTTCAATAAAGTGTAAACATTTAGTACGTTTTAAAAATAAGTATATATATATAATAGGTTAACTCTATGCTTCGGTGACTGCCAACTTAATGTCCTCCAGATACCCATCCACTTGATGCTCCAGGGCGAGAATGTGACCGGTATTGCAGTTCTCCGCCCCCACAAAGGTGAGAATCAGCGGCAGCTTGTTCATCTGCACCACCTGGTAGTTGGAGTACATGGAGATGATAGTCTTGTTTCTGCCCAGTCCCAGCTTGCTCGCCTGATCGCAGGCTGTGGTGAATGTGGGTATAAAGGAGGGCATCAGTGCAAAGTCAATGTTTTTCTCCTGACTGACCCGTAGGAGTGGCACTCCGTCGCGATCCGTTATCTGAATCACGTACAGGCCGCTGACCCTAGAATGGAAATGGTGAAAAAAGCTTATTTACCGCGAATAACTCAACGCTGTGCTGTGCTTACTTCTGCAGCAGGCCATTGAAATACTTCTTGATGTCGTCCGACATGGAAAATGCGGGAAGTATGGTGATTAATGGACTTGTAACAATAAAATTAAGGCTCTTCTCCGCATTCACTATATTTACACAAAAACAAACTGAGCAACAGCTGATTAGGACTATCGATAACTATGCACCTGGCATGGGCGTAGTTGGTGGCGGTTTCGAGGAAATTCTTTTTAATTTAATTAAATTACATTTTCAATTTATCTGTGCTATTATTTATAATTTTTACAATTATTACAACATTAAAATACAATACCATTATTAACAAACAATTTAAAACCCCTTTTAAGTACGCCCATGCAAGTTTATCGGTTCTCAGCTGCCGCTTTTGGTTGCGTGGAAAACATCTAGTTTGTACTTATTTAACAGAAAATAACAGCATTACGAACTTAATTTAGTATTTATTTGTAAATTTAAATATATCAAATCATTCTCCACCATGGTAACCGGAGATCCCACTGTGACAAGTCCAAAAACGACAGCTTTAGATGATGACGACTACACCGCTGCAATGTCGCACCTAACAATTGGACAGCAGATCCAAGAGCTGTCCAAGCAACTGCAGAACACCAAGGAGGAACTGCACCAGCAGGTGCGGGACAAGCATGGAGCTCTGTTGCAGCAGGCCACGCATGCGGGAAGATTCGATGCAGCCTTGAATACTCTGGCGGAGGACGTGCAGCGGGTGAGGGAAACCGGGCAACGGCTGAAGAGCCAGGTGGATACCCAGTACCAGCAGGTGGAAAACCAAACACAGGTTCTGGGACGCCTCCATGACGTAAGCCATCTTCTGCGCTCGGCCGGAACACTGCTGACCCTTACAGCCAAACTAAAGGGCACCAAGGATGTGCTGCGACAAGCAGAGCTGCACTTTGAGCTGGGCCAACTGATCGAGGACAAGGACCTGAAGGACATCGAGTTTATCCAGCAGGAAAGAGCTTATGTGATCAGCTCGGGACAGAAGATAAGGAACCTCACACAGATGCAGTTGGTCACTGGCCTCCAGGAACGAAATCAAAATCAAGTTGTTAATGCCTTAAAGGTTAGCTAAAAGATAGTTTTCAAAGCTTTCATTGTTAATTGTTAATCTCTAACCCGGAGCATAGATCTTTATGAACTTCAACACACTGGAGAAATCTCTGCAAAACCTGCTCGCCACCTTCATTGCGGACATGGAGCAGTCGCTCAAGGAGTGCTTTGCCGGCAACGACATCTCGGTGTTGAACAAGTCACCCACGCACAATGTGAACAAGCCGGCTGCCTCGAGGGGACCGGGCAAAACTCCACAGCTGACCACCACGCAGAACTTTCGGGCCAAGTTCTGGAAGTCACTGCACTGGCTGCTCTACGACGAGCTGTACGAGACCTGCACGCAGATCAAGCTGCTGAAGACAGCCCTGGAGCAGATCAACCAGTTTGGTTATACCTCAGAGTCCTCGGATCAGTGCATTCCACAGCGATTTTGGCAGCAGGTCCAGCAGCTGCTGCGCAAGTCCTTCGACGAGTGCCCACAGCACGTCACCCAGACCCTTCAGGAAGGTCTCTCCAAACTGCTAACTTCTGCCCGTGGTTTGGAGCAGCGTCTGAATGGTGAATTCCAGTTCGACAATGAGCTGTTTGCCCCCTTAGAAGTGGGTTACGTCAGCAAGTGTGCTGCTAACCTGAAGGCCTGTTTGGCCGGAGTGGATCTACCTGGCAACGAGACTGTGGACAACTTTATACGCGTGGCTTCCACTGAACTTAGCGCTGCGTTAATCGATTCCCGTCTCACGAATTCCATTGCGAATGTTTTCATAGCTTGTGGCAAGGAACTGTGCACCAAGCTGGAGGCACAAATCAAGCTGGGAGCTGATTCAAAGCAGGTTGTGGATCTGCCTAACCTACAGCAGCAGCAGAACACACAGTTGGCCAATGTCCTGTATTACTACAAGGATTCTGTGCGTCGCATGCTGGGCGATCTCCAAGTTCAGTTCGAGAAGACACCCGGAACAGCTAGGGATAACATTTCTCGATCGCTGGAGCAGGCGGATCTGCTGATCGGCACCATTCTGCAGCAGATCATGGAGTCGATAATTACGACAATAAGCATTATCATATTGAGTATGCACCGTGAACCAGGACTCAACACGGATAGGTTGTCCACCACGGGTCCCTCGATGTACATGAAGGAGTTGCAGGTGGGTTTGATCTCCTTGAGAAATTTGCACAATTGATAACCCTTCATTAAATACCCCAGGAATTCATCAACCGTTCCTGGTCGCATCACATTGCCCTATTTGACGACAAGCAGATGACCACCAAATGTGGCCACGAGCTGGCCAAGCGTTGCATTGAGCTCTTCCTGCACAACATGTGCATCCTGCGTCCATTGAGCGGAGCGGGCAGGCAGCGCCTGAAACAGGATTGCCAGCACATGGAGCAGGCTCTGAAAGCCCTTTGTCTTAATCTCGCGGAGCTTGGGAAGCCCTCGCGTCTGCTAAGAGCCATGTCACTGCTGATTGTTCAAACGCCGCAGGAGCTGGTGAAGCAGACAATCGGAGAGGACTCCCTGGTGCCTAGTTATATCGTGTTGCTGCTGCTTTTCGGACATGCTGGAGCAGATCTCCAGTCGCCGCATACTACCGCCAACTGGTCGAATGAGCGATTGATCGAATGGCTGGATGGCCACACGGCGGAACGGGAAAAGCTGGAGCTGATCTCAGGTGCACTGCAGCGGTATCGGGACAATGCCAGGCGCAAGAATATCCAGCAGTATGACGAGATCTATCCCATGATGGTGGAATATTTTGAACAGGCCTTAAAGGCTATCCCATAAAGAGTTATTCCCATGTATTCTTATATATGAATATTTTAATTTAGTAAAAATAAATTTATTTAATATGCTGCATTTACAGTTAAATAAATTAAAATCGCAGTTTATTATAATAAAAAGTTAATAAGAATATACACAAGATTGTTGATTATAAAAATACATATTCAATAAAAAAAAGAAAAATTACTGGAAATGCTACAGTTTTAAGCAATGTTTTAAATTTCGTCTTATTTTGTTTTTTAAATTAAATTAAATTATATTAAATTTTTTCTTATTATTTTAGAAATATATTTTTTTCTACTGACGTAGCTGTTGATAATGATCCATAATATACATGATTTATAATATTTATATTTATAATGGTTAAATTATTTAGTAAAATCAGGCGATAGTATCGTTTGTGTAACCCTGAAAACATCGAAGGCCGCAGTATCGATGTTTTTACAGCTCTACCCGGGATAGGAAAACCGTGGCGTTTTTAAAACTTACAGATCTGGTCACACTTTCGATCACCATTTTGTTTGCTGCCTACGTAAAAAACGCCGTCAATTCGCTTTAACTAAAGAAAAGGTTTATAAGTAATTGCAAACAGAACGCTTTGACTATTTAAATATTTTAACTGTTTGCTAAGACGATGGACAACATTGAGCGACTGTACAAATGCTACGAGGTTCTGTCCGAGGCTGGCGATAAAATATCCGAGGTAAGCCGCCATTGCGGATGAAAACGGTACCCCGCCGAAACGTGCCGGGAGAGAATATGTGTGGGAGTAATGTTTAGTTAATATTTGTATGTATGTATCGTTTTTACAGCATGTGGAGGAATACAAGGAGATACTTAAGGCCGTGAAGGGCTCGTCGAAGGAGAAGCGTCTGGCGTCGCAGTTTATTGGAAACTTCTTTAAGCACTTTCCGGATCTGGCTGACACAGCCATCGATGCACAGTTTGATTTATGCGAAGATGACGACACACAGGTGGGTGGCGTTGGTCTAGTAGACCTATTTTTTACCTATGCAGGTGGCCGAAAATGTCATGGTTTTTTGGCTATTAAGTATTACGTATGAGGGTAACTGGTGTACGCGGTTTGTGTATCCCGTTTCCATGCAACAGAATATTTTAATATGAATATGAAAGATGGGGAAGTATTAATGATTGATGTTACTCTTATCTCATTTTAGATTCGTCGCCAGGCCATCAAGGATCTGCCAAAATTATGTCAAGGAAATGCCGAGGCCACCACCCGAGTGGGTGACACTCTAGCCCAGCTGCTCATCCTGGACGATCCCAGTGAGCTGCAGCAGGTCAACAACTCGCTGCTGAGCATTATCAAGCTAGACCCCAAGAGCTCGGTGACCGGAGTGTTCCAACAGATCACCACCGGCGATGAGACCACTAGGGAGCGTTGCTTCAAGTTCATTGCCACCAAGCTGCTCACCATGGGCCCCACAGTTATTACCAAGGATATCGAGGATTTCATTGTGGAGGAGATCAAAAAGGCGCTACAGGATGTCACCGCCGATGAGTTCCATCTGTGCATGACTATTCTGGGAGCCACAAAGCTGGGCAATACCATCACCGGGCACGCGGAACTTGTTAAGCTGGCCACCGAACAGGCAGAACTAAATAATACGGACACGGACATTATTGCCGTAGACGATGAGGTTGTGGAGAGATTTATTCAATGTGCCACGGCAGCAGCTCCTTACTTTTCTGTAAGTATTCCTTAATTTTTTGCGAATTTTCATCCTCTGAAAAATCTAATCTGTGGCTATTTTTAATAGAAAACTATAAAGTCGACGGCCTTCGTGGCCCACGTTTGCGATAAACTGCTGCCCATCAAGACCTGGAACATGATAGCAACTGCAGTGTCGCAAGATCAAATACAACTGCGACTACTGAAGGTGTTTGCTGAGATTATAACCAACACGGACAAGCTGGAGAATGCCAGCGAGCGCATCAACGCCGTCTACAATGTATTACTTGTGAGTTATCTTTGGTTTCTTCTGGCTTATCTGAATAATAATGAATGCGTTTTTCTAGGAGTACATGCCCTTGCCGAAGCTGAGCGATGAGGATTTGGGTGATGCACCACCCTCGTTTCAGTTCTCGCACGCCGAGTGTTTACTGTACGCCCTGCACACGCTGGGCAAGAACCATCCAACTAGTTTAAGTTTCGTCGAGGACGCCGAGAAGCTTAAAGACTTTCGGGCTAGGTTACAATATCTAGCTAGGGGAACACAGGGGTAGGTCCATAGGGTTTGAGAGACTAGAAGCATTATTTATTTACCTAAAATCGCCTTGCAGATATATTAAGAAGCTGGAGGAGGCTCTAAAGGGCAAGTCGGCGGAGGAGCTAAAGACGGAGGAGAACCAATTAAAGCAGACAGCACTGAAGACCACATCAAATATTAACGTGTTGATACGCGATTTGTTCCACTCGCCGCCCATCTTTAAACATGATATTGTCCTCTCCTGGATAGTGCCAAAAGCGGTATGCTTCTGCTTTGAAATAACTTTAAACTTGTTCTATATGTTTCCTTTTTATATAAAATTTGCAGACGAAGCTGGGCAAGCGCCACGCACCCATAACTTTTGGGGACAAAGCCGCCGCCAATGGTAAGGAGAAGGAGCAGGATCAGGAGAAAAAGGCACGGCCATCCAACGAACAAAAGTTCTACTCGCCGCCATCTGGTAAATACTCCAATAAAGTCAACCAGAACTATGGAAACAACAATCGCGCGAGACAGCGCGGCGGTGGCGGCGGGGGATACAGGAATCGCCGTTTCAACAAATACTAAGTAAAGAATTGAGAAGAGAAAAGCAGCAGCAGTACGAGTACTTCACATGAATTGTTTGTCCTAGTCCGTAAAGAAAAACAAAAAACAACCAGAGATTAAGAGTCCCTACTCTACGTCCAGAATATACGCAACTGCGCTGATGCTAGCGAGTAAACAACCGAAGGGAAATATGCGATTCTTCTGTTTCCAAAGACCCTCCCTGGTGAGTATAAAAATGGTTTTCCTAGTAACTTTCTCCCCTTCGTTTACTTTCAGCGTACTTTCGCTTTACAAGCAAAGCAAATTCATCTTTCTCATAAAAACACTATCACATTGCTTTTAATTTTTTGCAAAGAACGTTATTTGTCACAATTATTGGCGTGAACATTTTTTAAATTACGCCACGCCCGCTTTTCATTCTGCTCCTTCCTTCCCAAAAAGGGCGCTGGCTGTGTTTTAAACTTAAATCACGTTTCATCACTCTCGATCTGTCAAATGCATAAATATAAGATTATAACGATAACCAGTTGGACAAACCTTTGCAATATTTACTATCATATAAAATAAAGCTCAAAGACAACGGATAAATATACATTTTTCCATTTCTCTACAAGAAGCCAATGTAGCTGCGGAACGTATATTCGATTCTTTGTTTTAACCACTAATTAGTTTTTATATTTTACTTGTAATCGAATCTATAATTGTACCACGTAGACATGCAAATCAGCAATAATCGATACAAAACGCAAACATTTCTTGAATTCAATAAAAGCAACAATTGAACAACACTTGCGACTGGTGAACTTAATTATTTAACAAAAGATAATTTTCTAATTCAGCGTAAAGGATTATATACAGGGTTCAAAATCTAAAGAACTGAGAGTATTTCAGATTTTTAAAGTATAGTATAGACGTAGGACTGTCTATAAAGCTTAAATTTAATCCCTATTTTCTATCGGTCTTTTTTCCACGTTTTGCCTGCAATGTGCAAGCAATTGTTTGTATACCCTATCTTGTTATACCCTTGCAGGGTATTATAATTTCAGTCAGAAGTTTGCAACGCAGTGAAGGAGACGTTTTCGACCCTATAAAGTATATATATTCTTGATCAGCATCAACAGGGGAATCTTTCTGGACATGTCCGGAAGCAATCGATTTTTTGGCCATTTTTGCGAAATTTGATAAGGGGTTACATCATTAAAAGTAGCAAAAATGGCCAAAAATTTTGATTTCTTCAAATTTTAAATTTGGTATGCAGTTTTTTTAAATTTATAAAAACTAACACAAAACTGCTTTCCGAATCGAAATTAATGCATTTTTGGCTTAGTTATTATATATTTTAATTGTTACCTGCAAGGGTATACAAACTTTGGCTGGCCAAAGTTAGCTTTCTTTCTTGTTTTATATAACTTTGCCGGCTCAAGGATATTATAAACTATATATATTCTTGATTAGCAACAAGAGACAAGTCTATCTAGCCATGTCATGAAATTATAACTTAATTTTTGGGCCTATATGATGAAACCACTTTTAATAAAAGCAAAATTCCATTAAAAACATCCATAGTGGAAGCTAGGAAATGTGTTTTTAATGTATGTATATATTTATTACGTTTAATAAAAATATATATATATATTTATGTATGTGTAATAGAAGCCTTTTGAACATTAAAAATACAGTTATTATAGTTTCCAGCCTAAACAAACTTAATCTGTGTGTCTATGTGTATCCTCCGGTCTTTCTGGCTGGGATCTCACGTCCGACTAGATGCTCGGCGGAGGTTGATTGCCCGGCTGCTGGCCTCCATTGCCAGGATTTGCATTCGGGGCGCCGCCCTGCTGCTGGGCACCCACTAACTGGCTGGCAAAACTCTGGAACAGCTGCAGCATGTCGTTCGGCATGGCCGGAATCTGTGGCGGGGCGCCACCGCCTGGAGCTCCGCCGGCGCCAGGAGCAGCACCGCCGCCACCATTCGGATTACCCATGTTGGCAAACAACTGACCAATCGTGTTCATCACCATAGGATTCTGAGTCATCGACTGCAATTGCTCCAGATCAATTTCAGCGTTGCTGAATAGATTCCGCACCGTGGGATTAGCCAGCATGGCATTGAGTCCGTCGGTCAGGTGCGACAGCTGCGGCGGCTGGTTCCTGGCATTCCTGGCCACCTCCAAATTGTTCCTGTAGTCCGGATTGTCCGGCTCCAGCTCGATGGCCTTGCCATACGCCTGCTCTGCCTCCGCGAACTTGCCCATGTTAGAGTAGGCCACACCCAGGCGGCAGTACGCCTTGCTGTAGTTGGTGTTGTACAGCAGGGCAGACTTGCAGTCGGTGACGGCCCGCTCATTGTCGCCGAGGCGGATGTGAGCCGCAGCACGATTGCAGTAGAATATGGGGTTCTTTGGGTCAAAGGCAATGGCCCGGTTGTACTGCAGCAGGGCCTCGTTATACTTGCACTCCTTCATCAAGCGGTTGCCCTCGTTCTTGATGGAGTCTGCCAGGGCCAATGATTCCGGATTGCGCTCGATGTACAGCGATTGGAAGAGCTCGAACATGTCAATGTTTTTGGGAGCGACAACGCCGCCGCTTCCGCTGGCTGTCGCATCGCCACCTGGCGCGCTCCCAGTGCTACTCTGTGTGGTGGCCTCCACCTGTGCGGAGTCCTGCGGCTGGTCCACATCATCGCCCACGTCGAAAGCCGCCTGCAGGCACTGGATCGCCACTTCGATGCTCTCGCTCTGGTCCGGCGACATCACGTCCACCTGCTTCTTCAAGTAGTCGATGAAGCTCCGCACAAAGCTCTGCTGCACTGCGTCCGGCATTTTCGTATATAGTAATTCCAAATGCTAGTAAAGTAAAGTAAATGTGATTAGGCGAAAATGTGAGTGTTAGAGCTGAGCAATAAAAAACATCGGGCCGAGTATTTTCGCCTCCCCGGCAGCTGGTCATGCTTAAAATCGATATCGATACCATCGATATATTTTAGACACAGGGTGGTCAATCTTAAAAGCGTGGTTTCGCCGGCAGCTGATTGTTATTATTTTTATCAGTTCTACAATTGAACAGCTCAGGAAGAGCTCCCGAAAATGTTCAAGTTTAACTTCGAAGTGGAGCCTGAGTCCCCTTCCGACCCAGAGGCCGTTAAAAGTCCTTTTGTTGACAAACAAGAAGGTGACACCGAGGAATCCCAGGCGACAGACATCAAAGTTATAGAATGGTACCACGCAGAGAGAGTAAAACCTATAGACAACTTGATATCCATACTCGACTTCTACGAACTAAATGCCAAAGAAAGAGAGGTGGGTAAAACCAAGATACGACACCTTGTGGCAGGCTTTCTCCTGGAGGACATAAAAGCCCAAACTCATCTGGACATTAAGAAAGCGGAGGAAAACCATTCGGATCTAATTGCCGGGGTCTACGAGGGCGGTGCTAAAATCTGGGAGTGCACGGACGACCTACTACTGTACCTATCTGAGAAATATGAAGACAACTCCTTTTGGAAAGGCAAACGAGTGCTGGACTTGGGCTGTGGCTCCGGATTGCTGGGCATCTATGCCATAAAAATGGGTGCTCAAGTCGATTTTCAGGACTATGTAAGCCTACCAGTAATTTAAATATAGTTTTCTTTAATATATCGAGCATATTTCAGAACAAAGATGTCTTGGAATACATTACCTATCCAAATATACTGCTCAATGCCGATGAAAGTCTATCTGACGACGAGAAGTTGGAGTTTTTGGAAAACCAAACTTGTTTATATGCTGGCGACTGGTCTCATTTTTCACTTCTCACCAAGGACCTGGATAAATATGACCTAATACTGACCTCGGAAACCATCTACAATATAGACAACCAGAAGAAGTTGTTGGAAACCTTTGCTGGTCGACTCAAACCGGATGGAATCGTTCTAGTCGCTGCAAAATCTCATTATTTTGGCGTTGGTGGCGGTCTGGAACAGTTTACGCACAAAATCAAGATGGAAAAGGTTTTTCAAACAGAAAATGTGTGGCAGGCAGAGGAAAACTTAAAAAGAGGGATTCTGCAGTTAAAGTTTAAAGAAAGCTAGCGTTAATTAATATTTATCGAATGAAACTCGTTAGTTTTTATACCCCTGTCGGGTACTATGATTTTGTTTCAGCAGACGTAGTTATAATAATAACATTTTGACCAAAACTTTACAATTCAAATCGAATTACAAACTGGCTTTTGATAAATAAAGTCATCGTAATTCTTATGGGCTATCGGATATCGATATTTTGATATATTAACAACCGTACGATACACCCTGTAACCGGGTGCCCACAGTCAGCTGTTATTGTTTTCCGACAAACTGTGAGTACTCATATAAAGCGAATAAAATGCCCTTATCGGCCCTGTAAATGGTTGTTAAAACTCTCCTCCAGAATGAGTGGGGTGCGCCCTAATCTAATCTAAACTGTTTCCGTACACGCTGCTTGGATCATCACAAAAACTACTCCTTAACACCCGTGCCGCTGGCCTAATCGATGTTCCTTATGCCTGCCGGCTCCGGCGATATTGTGTCTTCAGACCGGAGAGTGGAGCACGAAGAGGCCATTTTGGCGAAGAGAGCTCTCTGCTGCTGTGAGTACGTCGCGGAGAAGGATCAACAGCGTTCCCACCTGCTGGGATGCTGTTGTAACTGCGAGGATTTTGACTTGGTGTGCACAAGGTTCGGAGTCAACTGAGAAGTAACTACCGTCTCTAATTCGTTGTCCCCCGCCTCAGCAGACTTGTCACCTGCCGGCCCATTGATCGAAGGAATATAAACGGCATGCTGATCGCCTTCCAGGACCGTCTGCGTCTGCCTTGGCGCGGGGGGGCCAAGCGAATTTCACCGGCAGCTGTGGCCCCGGCGTTCATTGTCCCCCTAATGCTGGGCTTGGCCACGCTCAATTCCAAGACCGCAGTGGTGCTTATGCTCACTCTTGTGGGCTTCACCGGGTGGGGCATGCAGGTGGCCAAGCGGACGGCCACGCGGACTAACTTCTTCCTTAGCTGGGTGGTCTTCTCCGTGGTCTACATGATCATCATCTTTGAGTTCCAAGTGCCACTGCTGGAGCTGTCACCCGAGGAGAATTACGCCCTGATGTTCTTCTCGTGCGCTGCCCTATACTGTCTCTACTCGACCAAAGCTCTCTCCTCGTTGAATCTAGTCTCTGCCCAATATGGCACTACGCCCAAGGATGAGCTGCCTGGAATCGCGGAGGCTTCTAGCGGGGAGGAACAGGCGGAGGCGCAGATAACTCTTCAAATGGATAGTGTTCTTGATGTAGATGAGATGGTGGATGATTCTTCGGAGAGGGTAGACCTGATGCACGGACAGCCCAACATCTGCGAGAGCTGCCGGAAAGTAACTCCCAGGAGGGCCTACCACTGTCCCATCTGCGGCACCTGTGTGAAGAGGCGGGATCACCACAGCTACTGGCTCAATTGCTGCATCGGTGAACGGAACTATGTGTGGTACATCTGTGGGCTGATATTGTCCGAGATTGCACTGCTGCTGGGCGCCAACCTTACCCTCACCTCGATATGCCATCCCTTTATGGTGGTGCGGCCCTTGGGCTATCCTGTCTTGTTGCCCGACGACTGCAGCGAGGTGTTCGAGAGCTTTGAGTGAGTTTAAAGATTTATTTATTTGTAAAGTTCAAGTTTTGAGTTGCTGGTTTCTCGCAGACTCGGCATATCCTTTGTGGTGGCCTGCTATGCCCTGCTTATCTCCGGCTACATCGCCTTTATCCTAGCCCGACAGGCATACTTGTGGTGGAAGGGCTCCACCCTGCACGAATACAAACGCTCGACGCACGCCGCTGGCCGGGGCAACCGCATCTGGAGCCTCTGGCGAGCCATAATAAAGTGAGCCCTGCCTGGCATTAATAATATTAAAAAAAAGCATAAGCACAAACAAGCTTAATACTATAAAGTATTTCACTCTCAACGCTGTTCTTAGTAGTTGTACTTAGTCGTAGCGCTTTAAGGTCCTTAAAAGCCATTTTAAAATTTATTACAAACTAATATTATGAAACCAAAACAAAACGTGGAACGAATAAAACCAAAATTAAACTATAGCCTAGTCTACCACAAGCTATCCTCCCTGGGTTTGTAGTCGGGCAGGAGCTCCCAGATCTTCAGGCGCCAGCGCTGGCGTCGCTCCTCCGTTTCCTTTTCGATCTTTAGGATCTGCGGCAGGCGTCGCCAGCAGTCCAAGACCTTCCACTTCAGGTGCCTGAGTTAACAAAAAAAGTTTAATACATTTCTTTGAATACATTTTCTTTAAACGGAACACATACCAATCGTGATGGGAGAGCGCCTGCCGTGTCTTAGTGTCCTCGAGCATCCGGCAATGCGTTGTGTACTTAAGCCATCTCCCGAACCAGTGCTCCATGGCATGGAGAGCATGCCAATCTATGGCCACTTGCATCTTGCTCCGCTCATTCTGCGCATACAGCATCCAGGCGAAGAGGGCGCGACGTTTCACGATTCTATGCCACAACATCTGCGCCCGGACTAGCTTTTCGCGTTGCTTGTACGCCGTGTAGTTACGCCACGACCGGAAAGCGTTCTTCTTGTACATCTGCCGGCGGAACTCTTCGCTCTTGACCAGGTTCTCGCGCTTGCGCTGCAGCAGGCGCTTGAAAGCCTCCATGCCGATGCGGCGGAGCAGCAGGCGGCGGCTGAACTCTACAGCCTTGCGCTGGTTGTCAATGAACCTTTGGCGTTCGCGCTCCTTTAGAACCTTGGCCATCTTCTCTTGGCGACGTTTCTCCTTGAGAACCTCGATCCTTAGGCGCTTGGCTTCCTCATCTTCCTGGCGCTGGGAATAAAAATACAATAAAGCTTCCCGAGCTTATTTTTGAATGAGTACGAACCTTTGCCTCTTCGAGAGCCACCTTGGCCGCCTCTCGTTCGGCATCCGCCTGGGCCCGCCTCTGACGAGCCTGCTCGTGGCGCACACTCCGCTCCATGGCTCGCTCCTGCATGTGCTGCAGGAAGCGTGGTTGCAGCAGTGCCTTGCCCTGGAGCCGGGCCATTTCCTCGTCGTCCGCATCCCGCAGACTGCCTATCAGCTGCAGGCACTTGGCCTTGGCCTTAGCCTTGGGATCCCCGCAGCGGATGACCGTCTTTAGCTCCTGCTTGAGATCCTCGCGCGCCTCCTTGGCCTCGTCGCTGAGCTTACTCAGCTTCAACTGCATAATGAGACGTTCTTGGCGCTCGAGCTTGATCCGCTGCAGGTCTATGATGTCCTGCTGAACTTTGAGTCTAGGATGAGGAGTAATCTATGGGTAAATTCATTAAATTTATCGTTAGTCTTACTTATTTTTGAACTGTTTGGCCATCTTTACGGCCTCCTCCCGCTTCTCCAGGCATTTCTGTGTGATCTTGTTGGTTTCGGCAGCAGTATCCGAGGCTTGGACAGCTCGCTGGCGCTTTTTCTCCTGCCGTACCTTGTCCAAAAACGCGTTGATCTTGTGGGCGCGATTGTCCCGCGATTGGCATGTCTGGCCCTGCTCCCGTTCAATCTTCTCCAGCGTTGTGAAGTGTATCCATTTGAGAAAGTACTTGCGCATCATCACCAACTGGGTGTTGGCCCTAGCCTGGAACAACTGGTCAATGATCTTCTGTTTTTCGTGGGTGGGCGCCGCATCCAATCCATCTTCGCTATCGCCGGACTCTAACTCCAGGGGCTCTGGTTCTTTGGGCTTCACCACCACTTTGGGAAGCTCAATCCGGCGAATGACCAAGGCTTCCGGTACGGGTTCTGGCTCCGGATCTGACTCCCCTTCGATGGGATAGGTACTCGGCGTGGTCGACTTTTTCTGAGGTAGCTGAAACTGCACGTGCTTTGTGACAATGGGTAACTCCTTGTCCAGCTGCTCGTTCTGCTCCTCGGCTGCCTCCAGCTGGAGTTCGTAAAGGGCTTCCTCGGCCAAATCAGAAATCACGGAGTCTATGCCGTCGCTGGTGTTGGAGCAAGTGGACGATTCCCTTTGCAATGGCGGCGGATTGTCTTCCTGCGGGTGTTCCTGCTTGTTCTCCTGCTGCAGCTCCTCCTCGTGGCGAACAGTGCGAACGTGGAGCATCTGACGCTCGGCTGCAGCTCGCATGGGTCGGAAGAACTCCTCGGTTGACGTTAAGGGACTGGGAGTGCGACAGCGCAGGAGCTGTGCCTTGCTCTCGTCCGCCTGAACTTGCTTGGCGAAGTTGCGATACTCGAGGCAGTCGAAGGATATCGCCTCCTCATGCCGGAAAGCTGGTAGTTCCATTACCTGAGCCTGCTGCTCCGTCGCCCACTCGTGATCCATGTCTGCCTCCCTTTCCGGCTCCGGTCTCAGTTGCCTTATCAGACTCTTCGTGGCCGCTGCCTTGGTCTCGGCACACATCTGGGTCATTTGGCCCAAGGCCTGGACGGGAGTGTTGTAGAAGTTGTCTATGTGTTGGGCCGCTTGGGTGAGACTCTGAACCAGCGGTTTGTTATTCAGTTTGAAGTCCGGCTTGGTGGGAGGCACCTTGTGCGACTTGCTTCGCTGGAACTGCCTGGCCAGTTGCTGGCGAAACTTCTCCAGCTGGTTGTCAACAAAGCGCTGCTCCACCTCCAGGTTGTGTGCCTTAGTGGCTTCCAAAGTGCTGCCATGGGCCATTGTGGCCAGGGGCAGTTTGTGTGGTATTTTCTGAAACTATTTGCAGGATTTGGTTACAAGGTTACAAGGCCTATAAATTGTTGTATTTATGTATTTAGTTTAGATTATTCTCTTACCATCTTATGCCGCATATCCATAATCACACTTGGGTTCAGCTGCTTGGGCTCATCGCCTTCGACCAATAGGCGCTCCTGTCGCTTTCCCACATAATCCACCTCAATAAAACGTCGAACTGCATCCGTTTTCAGGCCCAGAGGATTGGCCTGTTGATGCCGCTTGCGAATGCGATCCCAGCGGGTGTCCTTATTCAGCTTCTCACGACGTTTTAAATACGACATTCTATTTAAATATTCTAGTAAATTCAGCTAGGGATATTTATATATTAAAGTTCCTTGAAATCGAAAATAAAGTAACAACTGAGTGGAAGGAAAGTTTTCATAAACAAATTGAAAATGTTGACTTGGCAACCAAAACTGCCGGCCGGAGAAAAGCAACCCCTATTAGCATAGAAATCCTTTTAAATTGTCATAAATACATAAAATAATAACCAATCAGGAAAAATACATTTGAATTGCATTCGAAGCTCAGCTTAATCCAGTTTAATCTTTATAAAGTTTGTATAAATGCCATAAATATTAGATAAGTCGATAAGTAACAAGAATTTAGGGGACTGCAAGCTTAGTTTAGCATTTTATTTCATCTTAGTTGAGTGGACGACTTCAATCCTAGCCGGCAGCGGGGTCCTTCTTGGCCTTGTCCTTCTTGCCCTTTTGTTTTTCGGCGGCAGCAGCCAGCTCCAGATCAATGGGCGCCGGCTTGACGAATGGAATTTCATCCTGGAACTTGGCCGGCATGTACTTCTTCAAAGGCTCCGGAACTTTGATGCCCGTCTCCGTCTGATGCGTCTCCAGAATGGCGCAGATGACGCGGGTGGCGGCGCACATGGTGGCATTCAGCATGTGCACGTAGTCCACGGCAGCGTTCATCTTCTTGGTCTGGCCATAGCGCACCAGGAGGCGACGTGCCTGGTAGTCCAGGCAATTAGAGCAGGAGACCAGCTCCCTGTAGGCACCGCTGCCGCCGAACCAGGCTTCCAGATCCAGCTTCTTGGATGCTGCATGGTTGAGGGCCCCGGAAACGATGTTAACCACGCGGTATGGAATGCCCAGTGTCTGACAGAACTGCTCGGCATTGCCGATCATCTCGTCCATCATCTCCCAGGACTTGTTGTCATGCGGCGAGGTGAGTACGAACTGCTCCACCTTCTCGAACTGATGCACGCGGAATATGCCTCGCGTGTCGCGTCCATGGGAGCCCACCTCCTGGCGGAAGCAGGTGGACAAGCCAGCGTACTTAATGGGAAGCGAAGCCTCTGGCAGCCACTCGTCGCGATGGTAGGCGGCAATAGGCTGCTCAGAGGTGGCAATGAGGTACTTCTCGTCCACGCCCACTTCCTCGGCCTTCTCACTGCCCTTGCCCACCACCTTGTAGAGCTCCTCGTCGAACTGCGAGAGCTGGGCCACCTCCTGCATGACCTCCTTGCGCATGAAGAAGGGCGTGTAGAGTGGAACATAGTTCCGTTCGTATAACAAATGCAGAGCGTACTGGATCAGTGCCTGCTCCAGGAAGACGGCTGCTCCGGTCAGGAAGTAGCCACGACCGCCCGAAACCACGGCTCCCTTTTCGGCGTTCATGCCATCGATCATCACGATGAGGTCCACATGCGAGTACTTGCCGCGCTTCGTACAGTCGCCAAAGGTCCTCTCCACACGGTTCTCCTCCTCGTCGTTCGACACCGGCACCGACTCGTGCAGGTGGTTGCCCACCTCCCTGAGGGCCGTGTTCCTCGCCTGCTCCGCCAGCTCGAGTGTCTTCTGATTCGCAGCCATGGCGTCGTCAATAAGCACGCGCAGTTGCTTGATCTGACTCACCGTCAGCGGCTGCAGGGTCTCGGCCACGATCTCCGAGAGGTTTATGTCCGCTGGCGGATCCTCGCTCATGGCGCCCACCGGCTCCTTCTTCTTCATCTTCTCGCCGATGACCTTGCTGCAGATGTTCTTCACCTTGTTGAAGTTGTCGGCTTGGTGCCGGCACTGACGCCACTCCAAGTCCTTGTTGATGACGGTGTCCACCAGCGCCACATCCTTGAAGCGCTTCTTTTGGTTATCGCGCACGGCATCGGGATTGCCGCCCTTGTCGCCGCGAAACAGATCCAGATCAAGAACCATGTTAGCTACGCTTTAATTTAGTCTCAGTCTATTTTATCTTTCACAACGTGGCTGGGTCTTTGCGTCAGCCAGTGATGCTAAATTATGATGAGATAAAATAGCTAGATTTTGGTATATTAACACTGCAAGAAATAAAATTTAGCGAAGAAAGTAAGAAGACGGGTAAAAATGGCGAATAAAAGCTGAATAATTTATGCTTATAATTTTAATAATTATTATTTTATGCAATTTATATTAAATAAATTATTTTGTATTACAAAAATGCAAATGGAAAAGCGAGAATAATAGCAGTAAAATAGCTAAAATGCCAACACTCAACACCGGGTGGTAAGGCACGACAGACTGGTCACACTGCCAAAATATGAGGATTTCCAGATAGTAACGAAATATCCACTTTAGCATAATTGGGATTTAAAGACATTATGCTAATACCTGTATAGGTTTGTATCCCGTTAACTATTGGTACTAGTCTAGCCTTAAAAAAAAAAAAAAAACATTTAAAATTGTTTGAAATCTACCAACTTTTTTTGTCACCTGCTTAAATCATCGTCACAACATGGCTGTTCAATGACAGTCAACATCGAGCGACAATACACTTCGGAGCGGTTTTCCACGATGAGCTTCATAGACCAGGAAGTTACCGAGTTCCGGGCCAAATGTGAGAAGCAAGTGCCGCACACCAAGATCATCATTTGCTCCAGCTCGCTGATCCGGGTTGACATTTATCCGGAACGGCCCAATCGCTCCATGACGGTGTGCCTCCGCTTTCCCGAGAACTACCCGCAGAGCACGCCCATCCTGGTGGAGTTGAAGAGCCGCGTGTACTCCGACAAGCTGCTGTCCGAACTCACCCGCTTAATTGATGACTACGCCGCCGATTTTCTGGGCAAGCCGCAGGCCCTGCTGGTCCTCGCCTTCGCTCAGCAGTATTTGACGGATAATCCCCTGTGCGTGTGCCTGGACGAAATCAAGCAGCTCAGGGCGGACGTAAAGGCGCCCGGAACCTCAACGGAGAGTCAGCTGAAGCTGAAGCAGAAGAACAGAAGCGTAGAGCTGGTCGCCAAGGGAGGCCTCTACACCTACAGAGTCGTCGCTTGCGTTCCCGAAAGCTATCCGATGCAGAGCGTGGAGCTGCGCGGCCAGGAGTCCAACCTTCCCGCTGTACTCGTACGGTACCTGAATGGCCAGTCACGGGAGATAGCCCGCCAGTGCGTGGAGCCACCGATCCGACTCAGCAAGGAGGCCCTGGCCAATTTCCGGCCAGTCAGGAGCCTGCATCGATCCCTCAAGTTCTGCTTGGAGGCCACCCGGGACTTTCATATCGAACTGTGCCCCATTTGTGATAATACCGTGTTGCCAGAGGATCCGCAGGATATCGAACTGGATGACAATGCCGACTCCTTCATCGAGCGAGTCTACTGCGGTCACCTGTTCCACCAGGGGTGCCTTAAGAAATACCTCTCCGAGCCACCGTTCCCCAAGGGCGGCAAACTGTGCCCGGCCAAGCGCCGTCATCCGCGCTCCGATGCTCAGACCTACATGGGAAGACCTCAAATTGCCACCAGTGGCGGAGCAGTGCTACCCAAAGCTTCAGAGGATGTTGTGTGCGGTATTAAGCTGGCCCATGATCGCTGGGTGGTCAGCGTGAAGACGGCGGAGGCGCGCTGGGCCCAGAAACAGGCTCGCCAGCGGGAGCTCGAGGAGGTGGTGGACTTCCTGCAATAACAGATAGTTCAACTCAGAAGCTGTGTACTGTATAATGGTTATGTATTTTGTGATTTGTATTCGAATACGCTTATATTGCTAATGAAATAAATAAAGTGAAGATGGAGTGCGACTAGGTTGGTCTTTGGGAGCGTAATGTTTGTATCCTAAGCACGCGATGTTCCAAAAATAGAACGTGCGAGAGTCTTTTAACTTTTGGAGATTTGGATTGTTATACCATCTAAAAGGGTAAAACATTTTTTGTCAAGAAAATACCTAGAAATACAACTAAAAATAATCAAATTCTTTCAAACTCTGGAAAACTAAAGGGTACCCAGTCTGTTTCGTTGTCGATTCCTAGTTAAACCAATAAAAATGTAGTTCTAAAACTAATTTTCAAGTAATTGTTGTGGAACCAAAGACCAGTAAAAAAGTTTTTTAGTTGAGCCCTAGGGTGAATAATTGCGCTGGAAGCCCTTTAGGTGCCGGCCTATTTGGCTAAACTTCAGAAATCCGTGACTATTTCATCATCCTCGTACCGCTTGATGGGATCCCCCTTGATCAGGGCTGAGATGAGACTGCAAATGGAGAGGAAAGCACCTTAAATCAGTTCCACGACCAGTGGGGATCGCCTCACTCACCAGTACAGCGCCACGAAGAACATGACGAAGTAGTAGCCCAGGTATATCATACAATTCCTCAAGTGGACCTTCAGCAGGCCTCGACTGTGTATGTCCACCGGATCGTAGACACCCAGGCTGTCGCGTCGCTGGCGGTGCATCTCGTAAAACAACCATGCCACCATCGGCAAATTGAGCAGGAACATTATCCAGTGGCCGCCCAGCAGCAGGAGAACGCAGAGCAGGGCATGGGATCCGAACTTGGGTATGACCCAGAAGTTGAGGCGACGGCAGCACTCTTGGGCGTTCAAATAGTCACACTCCAGGTCCGCCAGTGTCAACACCTAGGCAAAGTTCAAACTAATTAACTTTTCATTGAGTAGAGGAAATCACAACCCACATAGTAAATAAGGAGCAACAGGATGGCCCCGTAGACCAAAAGAGTTATGCAAAACGTGGCTGTTTCAGGCAGAAACATAGTGGAGCGTGAGATTCACTTTTTCACTTATAATTACAAGTTTTTCTTGTTTATATTTACAAGTTTCTAGCCAGTGTGGCCAGATGCAAATTTGCCTGAAACGCCAGAAACCCTCATGAACACACGGTCTGGCAACCAGCAACCAAATCTGCCAGATCGTCCGTTGGCGCGCAATTCAAATGAATTCAAAATTAGTTGTGATTTAAATACCATATAAAAACACAATATTTAAACAATTTTGTGTTAAATCTTTTATTAAAAAATATTCAGGCCTGCTTTGGTAATCGAAAACGAAAATTTGCATACTTTATTGTATAACTTTTGGTAGCCTATACCACCATAGACACTCTCTACAGGGCATTTGCTCTTGGTTAAAGAAAATATAAGGATGCCGGGGGAACTCTAATGGGAACGTTCGTCCTGTGACTTGCTCGTCTACAAGTTCACAGGCCTCGAGAGCTGAGCAGTGGTAGAAGAGGAGAAGACCAAGCCGAAACTCCACAGCTGGTTAAATTTACTAAATTGATCACCTGGAGAATGATGGAAATATATGACCTGTTAGCTGCTCGCCAGCTTGTTCAGTTCGTCCGCCAGCATCCTGTAGTAGGCGGTCGTCAACTTCAGTTTATCCTCCCTCTGCAGCAGATTAACCTCCTGCTGCTGCGCCTCCTTTACCACGATTATGGCTCCAAAATAGCAGTTCTACTTTTATTTTATTTTATTTATATTAATGATTTTTGAAATTCACACTTTTACAATTGTTAGTACAGTTGCAATTTGGTTTAAAATTGTATACACCGTACCTTAATTTTATTTTATATATTTTTTAAATCTACTCCTTAGGGCAATAAAATGTATTATATATTGAGCTTATCCTTTTACAATTGTTAAAGTTCATCCGCTATCATGTGCATCACATCTTGTTGTATTTTTTATTAGTCTCTAGGAAAAGGAAAATGGTTTATAAGTGGAACACCACAGCGAACGCCCTGACCTGCGATAACCCCTATTTTTGGGTACCATATGGATGTGCACAGCATGCCTATAAAAGGCCTGCACTCACTCTAAGCAACTTAGTCTTGAGCGGAAGTTTAAAGTGGAATAGTCTCGCTGGTGGAATAGTGAAATTGTATTGTACACATTGAAGTCCCTGCAGGGACAGAGTGATTGCTCGATATGGATGTGGCACTAAGTGTCCTTGCCGCCTCCTTACTCGTCACAGCAGTCGGCTCATATAATATAGAACCTACGCGATCTTGGGTGCCAGAGTAAGTTAAAGGATATAGGGATATAGGATATAGTTGAGGGTTATAGTTATATTTTAATTTTTTATTAATAACATTTTTTAATTAATATAAATTTCCGTGTTTCCCACAGCAATCCCAACACGGGCCCAAAGCTCTCCAATGAACTCTGGTTTAGCCAGGTCAAGAAGCCGTTCACAAACTGCCCCTCGTACAAATTCCCCATCAACACCAATGTAAACTGCGTGGATACGCCGGAGGGCGGCGAGTGCTTGGTCAGCTGCATCGGCACGAATCACTTCTACGGAGAGCGCCAGGATGTAGGCAAACTGATCCTCTCCTGCCGCCGCGGTGCATGGGGCATCAAGAATGGATCACCCACGGCGAAGACCATTCAGCACTGCGATGGCGCCTGCACCTGTCGTAACGGAGGCATCTGTAACGGCGAAAAGTTCTGCCACTGCAGGAAGGGCTATGGCGGGGATAACTGTGAGAGGAACCAGGAATTCGCCTGCCCGGAGCGTCCGCCGCAGCTTCCGAAGAACTCGAGGACGGTTTGCCGAGGCGACACCTGCGAGGTGGAGTGTAACCGAGGATTCGCCTTCTCCGACGGCCGAGCGCGGGTTCTTCTCAAGTGCAAGGGTACCAAGTACGTGGACATGGGCGGAGACTATAGTAAACTGCCGGAGTGCGAGGGTAAGTCTTACATAAAACTAGAGTTTTTGAAACATATTAAGGGGTTTATGGTTAATGGGAAAATAAAAACAAGTAAATATAAATAAATAATTACCATAGCTCTCTTAAGTTGTTTCTCAAACCCTGATAAAGTTTTTATGGATATACATATATCTCAAATCTAATTAATACATTTCAGCCACCTGCACTCCCAACTGTCTCAACGGAGGCAAGTGTATTGCGGCCAATGTCTGCGAGTGTCCTCCACGATTCCGGGGAAAACAGTGTCAGCTCGATGTGTCCAGATGCAATGTGCTCGATTTCAACGGCAACTTTCAGTGTGATCATGGTTCGGAGAAATCCGAGTGTCGCCTCAGTTGCCCAGCAGTTCCCGGAGTGAGTGTCCAGGGAACACTTGCCACACACTACGAGTGCGACTATGAAAGTGGGAAATTCGAACCATCACCCTCCGCGGTGAAGTGCATTTACCGTAAGTAATTCGGTATCCCAGCGGGGGATGACTTTAGAACTCTGAACTCTAGCGATAAGAAATTCGATCCAGACATGTGTTTTACGGATTGTTGGGAATCTTGAGGGTAAAATTCTCCCCACTTGAGATTTTTTGGTAGTTTTGTAATTGTTTATGTCGTCTCAAAAATATAATCTTCTGGCAGTCATAAAAACCCATCCCATATCTATAGCTTACCCCCTGCACCTTCCATATTTTTCCGTACAGCTTCCAATCGAAATGTTTCCCAGCATATCAGCACCTCTGACACGCAGACTAATGGAACGGTCACCATTATCGGTGGCAAGGAGCTGCCCTGGCCGGATAATCTCATCGACATTTGTAATCGCTATCAACAGTATGACAATAGCAGCAACTGGAAGCCGGAGGACCCCGATGAAAACGATATCGATGGAGCCAATCGACTGGGTCGCAAGCCTGCCAAGGATGTGATTGTGGCACCAAAGCTATCGGTCTGCAGCTCCTGGAATGGCCGAAACATCCGCACCTTTGATGGATTGCTTTACAGATTATCGCTTAACTGTGCCCACACCCTGGTCAATGACAGGATATTCGGGGCATTCCACGTGTCTGTGAGGAGCCACTCGCCCGAGTCGCCCCTAATCCTGCAGATCCAATGGCAGTCCGTTCAGTATACGCTCGAGAATATCAGTAAGTTATCCAGGATCTTTTCATTCCTATTGTCTTCTAACCCATTTTCAACCCCCTCCTGGCAGATGGCAGCGTCTCTCTATCCACGCCCGAGAAGCGTCTTTCGCTGCCTGCTCAGGTGCTCGGCATGAAGATAGTGCCATATGCCCAGCAGATCGAGGTGGATCTGGAGTCGGTGGGTCTCCAGCTGGTCTGGGATCATCATCAGCTTCTCTCGGTCCGCGCCAGCGTGGCCCTGTGGCAGAAGGTGGGCGGTCTGTGTGGTCACCTCGATGGGAATAGTGACAACGACTTGATGAGCCGCTCGGGGACTGTGTCCCAGACGTGTAAACTCTTCACCGACAGCTGGCGAAGCGGCGATCAGGCCTGTGTGCCCGATACGGACCAGCCTCTGGCCCAGTGCTATGGCGAGCGTCATAGAGAGGCCGTTGAGCAATGCCGCAAGCTGCTGCACAATGTCCAGTTGAAATCCTGCTTAGAGCACTTAAACCAGGAGACCCTTGTTCGCACCTGCATCCAGGATCACTGCGGCTGCCCAGGAGGAAAGGGTCAGTCGTGCACCTGTAACTTCCTGCAATCTCTGGTGGAGGAGTGTCGTGCCAAGGGCTCCGGGCCCACCGTCAAGGACTGGCGTAATCTCCAGCTGTGCCCGATAAGTTGCTCAGGGGGACGCTTTTACCAGACGTGTGGCCCCCAGTCCCAGCCGAGCTGTGAGAGCGACGGCGTCATGGATCCGAACCAGTGCTTTGAGGGCTGCTTCTGTCCGAGTGGGACGCTCCAGTACAAGGATACCTGCATTAGTCACAAGATGTGTCCTTGTGAGCTGCGTGGCCGTGAGTTCCAGCCAGGCGAAACGCACCAGAAGGAGTGCAACACATGCACCTGCCAGGCCGGAAAATGGGAGTGCTCGCAGGAAAAGTGCAGCAAGCGGTGCACGGCTTTCGGGGATCCCCACTACCGAACCTTTGATGGCAGAACCTATGACTTCCAAGGCCGCTGTCTTTACTATCTCCTTAAAACATCCGCGCTCTCTGTGGAGGGGGAGAACGTAAAGTGTTCGGGAGAGGATGACCCCCTGTACACCGGCGGTGGAGCATCGTGCACTCGGTCGGTCACCATTAGATTCTCACTGAAGGAGGGTGGTCCAACGGTCATAAAGCTGTCGCAGAAGCTTCAAACCATTGTAAACGGCGAGGTGGTGGCCCAACTGCCTCTGGAACTGGGCAATGGCGAAGTGGTGCTCCGACTGGCCAGCCACAACTTCATCACGGTGACCTTTGGCGATGGGTTGGTGGTCTGGTGGAATGGTGACTCCACCGTGCACATCGATGCTCCCTACAGTTACTACGATAACACGGCTGGACTTTGCGGTACCTTTAATGACAACACCAAGGACGACTTCCTCACGCCAGATGGAGATTACGAGCACACGCCGGATGCATTTGGAAACAAGTGGCGCACCAAGGAGCTCTGTGCCGACCCGGGTCCCTCAGTCACCCTCACTCCCTGCTCCAACAATCCCGCCCAGCGGGCAAAGGCCGAAGAACTCTGTTCCGTTCTTCGTTCGGATACGTTTAAATCTTGCCACTGGGCCGTGGATCCCGCCAGCCACTACGATAACTGCATCGTGGATGTGTGTAGCGCCAGGAATACGAGTTCCGCCAACACGAACAAGGCTCTCTGTGAGCTTCTGTCCGACTATGCCAATCAGTGCGTCCGCAATGGCATCCGGACTAGCTGGCGCCAGACAATCAAACAGTGCTCGATCCAGTGCCCAGAGGGCCAGGAGTATGACGAGTGCGGTGACTCTTGTGCCCTGAGCTGCTTCGACCTACAAAATCGGGATCAGTGCCGACGACAGTGCGTGGAGGGATGTCGCTGTCCCAGGGGTCACTATCTTAACGAGCAGCAGGAATGTGTGCCCCAGAAGGCCTGCTCCTGCTACTACGACGGCCTGAGCTTCAAGCCTGGCTACAAGGAGGTGCGGCCAGGTGCCAAGTTCCCGCAGTTGTGGTAAGGGGATCCTTATGAAAGTTTACCTAGAAACGTAATCTAAAATACTTTCCTTTGCAGCACTTGTGTGAATGGTCTGTGGCAGTGTGGGGATGCGGGTAAGGACGATGGTATCCTGTTCCCGCCACTGGGCCGACTCCGCAAGACGTGCGCCAGCAGACCCTACGCTAAATTCGTGACCTGTGCCCCCAAGGAGCCGAAGACCTGCAAAAATATGCATGATCATAGGCCGGACACCACGGCCTGCCATCCGGGATGTGTGTGCGACGACGACTATGTCTACGACGTGACCCGTCAGCAGTGCGTGGCGCCGGAGAAGTGCTCCTGCTATCACGCCGGACGCAGCTTTGATGACGGCGACACCTTCCAGGAACTATGCAACCAGTGCGTCTGCCAGGGCGGATCCTGGAAGTGCACGCGAAATGAGTGCGAGGCCACCTGTAGCGTCTGGGGTGACTCCCACTTCAGCACCTTTGACGGCCGTGACTTTGACTTTCTCGGTGAATGCGATTATATCCTGTCCAAGGGCGTCAATGCCGAGGGCTCTAGCTTCTCTATCGTAATCCAGAACGTACTTTGTGGCTCATCGGGGGTCACTTGTTCCAAGGCTTTGGAAGTTTCTCTGGGCAGCAAGGCTGGAACGGAGCAGCTTAAGCTGACCGCCGGAGGAGTCTATGGAGCAGATAATACCAGCTCCGTCATAACGCGTGAGTTAATGCATTCAGAGCTTGTCTTGAATCCTTCATTCTTAACACTTTCTAATAAGGATGATGCTTCTCTTGCAGGTCTTCGCAAGCAGATCAGCTCGCATGCATCTAGTTCCTTCCACGTCTACAAAGCTGGCGTCTTCGTGGTCGTGGAGGTGGTGGCTCTGCGTCTCCAGATCAAGTGGGACGAGGGCACCCGGGTCTATGTAAAGCTCGGCAACGAGTGGCACGGCCGCCTGGCCGGCCTTTGTGGCAACAATAATGGTAACAGCTTGGACGACTTCAAGTCCCCATCTGGCGGCCAGGAGGCAGAGCCCACACTTTTCGGCCACTCATGGCGCACCCACCCGCAATGTGAGCTGCCGCAACAGCTCTTTGATTCCTGCCAGCGGAATGCCCAACGCCGGGCCTGGTCAGAGAACGAATGCAGTATACTCAAGTCACCCGTCTTTGCCGCGTGCCATGTCCAGGTGCCGCTGGAACGTTACCTGAAGAGTTGCGTGTTCGACACCTGTGCCTGCGACCAAGGGGGCGACTGCCAGTGTCTCTGCACGGCGGTGGCCGCCTATGCGGATGCCTGTGCCCAGCGCGGGATCAACATCCGCTGGCGCACGCCCCACTTCTGCCGTGAGTCTATATCCACAGAAGTTTTTATGAATCCAAACCTAACCCTTTCTCCTAACAGCGATGCAGTGCGACACCCATTGCTCTGACTACAGCGCCTGTACTCCCGCCTGTCCTACGGAAACTTGCGACAATCTTCTGGACCAGGGAGATGCCGCCCGGCTGTGCCATCACGAGAGCTGCGTGGAAGGCTGCCAGGTTAAGCCGTGTCCTATAAACCACATCTACCTAAACGACAGCTACACCACCTGCGTTCCCCGAACGGAGTGCCGGCCCGTGTGCCTGGTGCGAGACGACATTACCTATTACGAGGGCGATGTGACCTACACGGACGACTGTGCCACCTGTCGCTGCTCCAAGAAGAAGGAGGTTTGCAGTGGCCAGCCCTGTCCGCCAACCACCACAACCCCCACCACCACGGAATGGCCCATTACAGGAACGACACCCAAGGATCCTCAGGATCGGACTGACAAGAGTTGCGTTCGCGGATGGACACGATGGTTGGATCGCGGCTCTAGTGTGGGCGGTATCAATCTGAACAATGTGGAACCACTGCCGCACTTCGATCGCCTCGATCTCATCTATGGAACCTGCGATCCGAGTTACCAGAGGAACATCGAGTGCCGGGTGAAGGATACGAAGCAGTCTTACGACTTGGTGGATGACAACGTATCTTGCGATCTCAAGCGGGGTTTGGTGTGCGTGGGCAAGTGCCATGACTACGAGATCAGAGTATACTGCGACTGCGATGATGATGGCTTCACCACAGCCAGGCCACCGCCACCGCCGAGTGCCAACGAGACGTGTGATCCCTCGCTAGATATTTTCAAGGAGTATCCCGGAGACTGCTTCAAGTATCTGCGTTGTATGCATATTCCAGGCAACAGTAACTGGCACTGGGTACCCGGCACCTGTGGCGTCCACCTGATGTTCAACCCCTCCATTGGTGCCTGCGACCAGATCTCAATAGTAACCCGATTACGGCCGCAGTGCAGCAAGGAGGATCGCTGCCGAGATGACGAGGAATGGAACGATTGTGCCAACCAGTGCGAGCACACTTGCCACTTCTATGGACAGCAGCTTATCCGGCGAGGTCTCTGCAATCCCGGCGAGCATTGCAAGGGCGGCTGTGTGCCCAAGAAGCGTCCTGACTGCCGGGCCCTGGGCAGATTCTGGCGCGACGAGCATACCTGCGTGGATCAGGACGACTGTCCGTGTCTGGACCATCGCGATGATAAGTATGTGCAGCCGCACAGGATTATCACAACGGACTTTGAGGACTGCCAGTGCGTCTTTAACCAGTTCGTGTGTGTGCCCAAGAAGACGACCACGGTGAAGCGTAAGTACTTAATTACTTATTTTTATTTTCCAAATATAAAAATATCAACACAATTTATGTTTTTTTCTATTATTATCAATTTGTCATTAGATTTGAGTAAAAATATGAAATATTTTATACAAAACAAATTTTATTTACTCATATTTATTGATTATGTTTTAAAATAACATAACAAAATTTAAACATCAACATTACCATTTAATTTTTATAATATAACTTATGTATAATGATTAAAAACTCTAAATTTTTAGCTCCCATTGGGGATCACACATCAACCACGCCCTTGCCCACTATACCCACCACTCTGACTCCACCTGTTTTGTGTCCAACGAAAAGGTAAGTCGTCCACCATAAACATAGAGATACCACAGATAACCCTCAACGAACTTTCCTCGCAGTATGGTGCGTCTCTTTACGAGTGAGCATACCGTGCCGGACACCGCCTTCTCAGGCTCCAGTATCCTGGATCATAACTATGCTGCTCACCTGTCCCGCTTGCACCGAAAGCCCAAGCTCAATGCAGGAGCCTGGACGCCAAGGATTAGCGATCAGACGCAGTACCTCCAAGTAAACTTCGAGAAGCCACTGGCTCTGTATGGCCTGCTCATCGCCGGTGATCCGCACCTTGACAACTATGTGACCCTCTTAAAACTGGTCTACAGCCTGGACGGTGAGGGCTATCACGAGCTCATCGGACAGGATGGCGAGCCTCAGGTGTTGGTGGGACCCAAGGACTCTCGTCTGGCACGAGCCCATGTCTTCCAGCGACCGATAGAGGCCAGGTCCGTGCGCTTGTATCCCCTGAGGTGGCACACCGCAATCGCCATCCGATTCGATCTCCTGCTGTGTAACCATGAGCCCACCACCACGCCGCCCGTGATAGACAGGACCACTACACCGCTGCCTCCCACAAAACCTCCAATTGAGGATCTCATTTGCAAGGACCCTCTTGGCGTGGACAGTGGAACACTGGGGTCACATCAGGTGGCGGCTAGCAGCATCTGGTTATCGTCGCATCTGGACAACGAAGAGGGACTCTTAGACCTATTGCGTTTCCGCTCTAAGCTGGGCTGGCGGCCGTTGGCCAACAAGCAGGACGAGTTCATAGACTTTGACTTCCTGGAGCCGCGCAATGTAACTGGCATTCAGACACGGGGCGGTGCTTACGGCTGGGTCAGCTCGTATCGCGTGCTCTTCTCCTCCAACAAGCTGGTGTGGAACGAGCTGCCGGGTCAGGAGGGAGACGGCCATATCTTCGAGGGCAACCGGGATGCCAATGGCCTACACACAAACGGCTTCCTACGGCCACTAATAACGAGGTATCTTCGCCTAGTTCCGACCACGTGGGATCAAAATATAAACTGGAGGATCGAGCCTATAGGATGCTTTGAGCCCTATCGTAAGGATTGGTTTTTTTAACGCTTTTGATTTCGTGTTAATCCTTATTAATCCTTACAGCCAACATCACCACACCTCCCCAGATTCGAGTTTGCCATGTGTGCGAGGGCATCGACTTGCCTGTCAGTCTACTTCCAAGCTGCCCCTGCAGCGACGGCCTTTTCTGGACAGGATCCAAGTGCGTAGAGCGCAATCTCTGTCCCTGTGTCGATCTTTATACCACGTGAGTACAGAAAGGCCTTTTAGGGGGGAACCAGTACTATAGAAACATTTAAATCCTTGTAGCTACCCCATTGGATCCAAATTTGAGAATAGTGACTGCGAGGAATGCGTCTGCCTGTTGGGAGGCGTGATCAATTGCAAGACCACAAACTGTCCCAAGTGCCCGCCGCATATGAGGAGCGTGAGGAAGGGTTGTCGCTGCGAATGCCAGTTGTGTCCACCAACCACCCGACTCTGTCCCACCAGCGGGGATTGTATTCCCAGCGACTGGTGGTGCAATGGCGTGCAGAACTGCGCCGATGACGAGGACGAGACTTGCGATCCCACGCGAACTACAGTGGCGCCTCGTAAGTCTTATCTATATCAAGCATTAAGCATCGAGTAACTTACCCATTTCCTCTCTTCCTGGCAGCCACCACTACAAAACCTAACTTGTGTCCGCCTATCCAGTGTCCTCCTGGATATACTGTCAAGATCAGGGGAAAACTACCCTTGGCCTTGTCGCCAATGCTTTTGATCTCAGCAGATCCCGCCAGCGATGGTTCTGTGGAGCCCCTAAAAGATTGGCTAGAGCCGCTAAAGTCCTCAGATCAGCCAGAAATTGCTTTCGGAGCCGTCAAGGTCCTGGGAAAGTTTGCCTTCAAGTTTGGTAAGAAATTCTTCAAGGGAGTCGCCAAATTAGCTGTCAAACTAGGCAGCAAGATCAAAGATGCTCTGATCGACAAGTTCGGCGATAAGGTGGCGGATAAAATCATAGACCTGGCCACTCCGAAGAAGGATAAGGCAGAATCTTTGACCCTAGATCGCCTCGAGTTAAACGAGCTGCCACTGAGGCCGGCTAAGCCACAGCTGGAGTTCACCTTCATAAACCAGGAAGAAGTCGACGAAATGTTGGATCTTTTGGGTGTCGATGCCAGCGATATTCCCGACTTCTCGGGGGATTGGAACGAGTTCTTTGCCGATGACGAGGAGGACGACGTCGACCCCGATCAAGATGAAATTGATGAGCTACTCGACTACATGGGTATTGTGTCCCAGGAGAGTCTTGTGCTCTCCAGATTTGAAGTGGACGATTCTCTAGATACCGAAACCCAGTTGGTGCTAAATGGCGCTATTGCGCCAAACGGGGTGAGTCCCTATGGCATCAACTTCCAGCTTCCCAAGGAACTCCGCCACCTATACCAGTGGAGAACTGCGATTCCGACCAAGAACCTGGACGACATCGAGCTTTGTGACGCCTTTTGTTGCATTCCCCAAAGAAATGAGACTTGTGAGGATCCGCAGTGCCCCACAGGCTTTGAGCCGGTGCTGGACACTACAAGCACCGGAGCTGGCAAGTGCCCCACGTTCACCTGCCGACGACCAAGGATCCCGGATGACACCTGCGACATCACGGGACGGATTTTCCGCACCTTCGATGGAACTGTTTACAAGTACGACATCTGTAGCCACACCTTGGCCAGGGATGCGCTGGGAGATCACTGGAGCATCAGCACGCAGCTTCAGTGTGCCGCCGATCAGCCAAGTTGCGGCGCCAAGACGCTGATCATCAATGACGATGAGCGTGGAGTCTCCATTACTATCCTGCCGAATCAGCGCGTCATCTATAACAACTTCGAGTTCAGTGTCCACGATCTGGCGCTGGTCAGAGCCGTGCGGCGATCCTTCGTGGTCAGTCAGATCGGAGAGACCGTGGTGGTGGTGTGCCGCCATCATAAGTTTTGGGTGCAGTACGCCGCTAGCGGGAACATTCGTATAGGAGTCTCTCAGGCTCTTCTTGGGAAGGTGGATGGACTGTGTGGCTTCTACAATGGCCGGCAGGATGACGATAAGCGTACGCGAACCGGTCTGCATGTGATTGGAACCACGGACTTTGGCGACTCCTGGTACGACCGGAAGCTGCCGCTGGACAAGTGCCGGCCGCAGGTGTGTCCCCTAGATCTCCAACAGAGGGCTCTCCAAATGTGCCAGGCTGTTAGGTGAGTCTATACTTGGAAATATTAAATAGAATATGAGCTAATCTTATCTTTCCCAGGCATCCCTCGTTCGGAACTTGTGGTGTCTCCGTCAACATCGAGGACTTTTTGGGCAAGTGTGTGGAGACGACTTGTGAGTGCCTGAAGGCCAATGGCGGTGCTGAGGGCAGCTGTCGCTGTGATCTCCTCCAGCAGTTTGTAGGCCAGTGCCTGGCCGTGGATCGCAACGTCCTGCTAACCAGTTGGAGGAGCATCCATCGCTGTGAGCCGACGTGTCGTCCGCCGCTGGTGCATCACGATTGCTTCCGCCAGCGTTGTGAGCCGCAATGCGCCCTGTCCAGCCATTCGGCTGTCGTTTGTCCCACCATTCCGAACACCTGCTTCTCCGGCTGCTACTGTCCCGAGGGAACGGTCCGACGGGGTGATGAATGCGTCCCACTGGACGATTGCCAGGACTGCAAGTGCAGCCTATTCGGTCTGAACAAGTTTGTCAGCTACGACGGCAGCAGTTTTAGCTTCAAGGGCAACTGCACTTACTTGGTGACCAGGGATCTCCTCATTCCCGGCAGCTACAACTTCCAGGTATACGCGACCATCCGGCCCTGTGGCCTGACCAAGGAGGAGAGCTGCGTTAGTGCATTGCATGTGACCGCCGGGGAGCATACTCTGCACATTGAACGTCACGAGAACGAGGTAAAGCTGCTGGCCGATGGCTACCAGGTTTCTCCCTGGCCACATCAGTCGTCCTGGCTGAGGGTCAAGAAGCTGCGCGAAGTGGAGCTCCTGGTGCAACTGCCTCTGGTTAAGCTGGAGTTGGTGGTGGATCTGAACTCACTACAGTTCCAGCTTTCTGTGCCCTCGGTACGCTATGGAAGCCGCATGGAGGGATTATGCGGCAACTGTAATGGCCTCAGCATAGATGACCTGCAAGTCAATCCGGCCAAGCCCAAGCCCACGGAGCCGCGACCCTTCGAACTGATCGACTTCGTGACCAGCTGGCAGGTGAACGAGCCGCGTCTGGGCATCGACACGCGCACTTGTGGTGATCAGCAGGTGTGCAAGCCTTTGCCCCGGGAGAGGAACGTCTGCTACCAGCTCATCGTTCAATCCGGCATCTTCGGCCGCTGTCCGCTGTTGGTCGATCCGCTGGCCTACATTCTCGCCTGCCAGAAGGATACGTGCACGGCCAGTGACGACAAGAAGGTGATCTGTGACGCCCTTACCGCCTACGCTGCTGCCTGTAACCAGGTTGGAGTGTGCACCGACTGGCGACCATTTACACAGTGTCCGGCGCAGTGTCTACCCGGAATGACTTACAGGCCCTGCGATTGTGACGTGACCTGCGATACGGGCGTAGATCGAGTGGACAGCAGCAACTTGGAGATTATCTATAAGGGACGTTGCTTGCACACCGCCCGCCATGAAGGCTGCTTTTGTCCACCGGACAGAGTGCTCCACCATGGCAGGTGCGTCTCGCCCAACGAGTGTGTCACCTGCGGCGACGGACGACATGTGGGCGATGTGTGGCAACCGGACAAGTGCTCTCGTTGCGAATGCTTGGCCACTGGCCAGGTAAGCTGCGAGAAGGAGCAGTGCGGTCGGGACACGGACCTCATCTGCCAGCGGGGCTACAAACTAATGGTCACACATAGGGACTTCGAGTGCTGTCCTCATCGGATTTGTGTGCCGGACACTGAAGACCCTGGAAAAATCTGTGAGCGACCCAAACTGCCCGACTGCGGACTCCATCAGAACAGGTTCGCAGATGTGGATGTCAACAAGTGTCCCATTTATAGATGTGGTAAGTCCAGGCTTGGAAAATTAATGAACTAAGGGGATATTTAATACAAAATGCTAAAAAATTGATTTCCTTTTCAGAATGCAAGCCCAAAGATCAATGCGAGCCCCCACCACCAATTACTCTGAAGCCCGGCGAGAAAGTGGAGGAGATAACGGATGGCTGTTGCCCCAGCTACAAGGTCGTGTGCCACCAAGACACCTGTCCCAAGCCACCAGCCATCTGTGATGAGCCTCACTACGAACTAATCTTGGATAAGCAACCCGGCGCCTGTTGCTCCTTGTACAAATGTGTGCCGCCCAAGGACAAGTGCCTCCAAAGACACGACAACCAAGTTCAGGTCCATCGCATTGGAGACAGATGGCAACTGCCTGGGGATCCGTGCGTGTCCTACGAGTGCCTGCTGACGGATTCGGGTGTGGTAGCAACCGTGACCACCGTGCTCACCTGTGCGAAGATGTGTCCGCTGGGCTATAGCTACGAGCACACGGACAGTGCCAAGTGCTGCGGAACCTGTGTCCCGACGGGCTGCGTCCACGACGGCAAGATCTACAAGCCAGACGAGTCTTGGTACAGCCAGGACAAGTGTATTAGTTACGACTGTGTGCCGTTCAAGGGACAGCTGAGGATACGCGAGCAGCACGAGACCTGTCCAGATGTCAGCCGGTGTCCTGCGGAGCATCTCCAGGACGATGGTGGCTGCTGCAAGCGCTGCAAGATCTCGCCACCGCCGGCAGACAAGACCGACTGCCAAGCTGTAACGGTGGCTCCAAGGCTCACGAGGAGTATGATCATGTTCGAGGACAAGGACCACGGAGCCTGCCACAACGAGCAGCCGATCGAGGGATTGACCCAGTGCGAGGGCGCCTGTACCTCGGCCTTTAAGTACAATCCGCTGCTTAACAAGTTCCAGGACAGCTGCACCTGCTGTGCTGCCACCGGATTGAGGAAGGTTCTTGTAAAGATTATTTGTAGCGATGGCAGTCTCCTGGATCACGCGCTGGAAGTGCCCTCCGGATGTAAGTGCGAGCCCTGCAACCGTCATCATTTGAACCAGACGAGCACGGCACAAGGAGGGGATCAGTCTGAGACCAAAGACAATCCTAAGAATAACAAGGTGATCGAAGAAGAAGAGGATGATGATGATGACTTTAATCTTCAGGACTTGCTTGATAAAAGTGGAGGCGTTATCACGCGGTAGCTTAAAAATTATAAAATTGGCAATGCCACAGAAATCGCTATCAAAAAGGGCCAAAAAGTAATATTCAAAGATTAAATTATCCAAGGATATTTAGAATACATTATAATTTGTCCACTCATTTATTTTTATAATCAAATATTTCATTTATATTTAACTAAATGTTTCACCGAAAAAGAAGCAATCAATTTCGACACGCAAAATTCAAATATCAAATAGTGAATTTATATTTTACTAAATATTTCACAGAAGAATAAGCAGTCAAGCCAAATAAACAAATAAACTTCTTTAAACAATAAATGCGGCTTAAACATTTATTTTGCTAAATTCAATTTCAACGGTCGATCAATTTTGCAATCGATAATATATCGATGGGCGAGTTTTTGACATTTCATAACAATCAGCTGTATTCTGAACCAACGGTCACACCGGGCCTAAAAACATAAACAAATCGTTTTCTTAATATTTATTTGATTGAAAATAATTAATTTTATACCCCGGTCTGCAATGCAGACTGCCGGAAATAATGCAATCCTGGCCCTGAGGCGGTTCTTCTTGCTGGCGCGGCGCCACTGCTCGGTTTCGGCGCAAACCGCCTCGGCCGGCTCCCAAACAAACGCCACCCAACCGCCACCTCCTTCGAAATCCGGCGAAGCTAAAATGCGCGGATGGCAGCTGCACAACTATGGCGGCATCGAAGAGCTACAGCTTTCGGACAAGCTAAGGATACCCCAGATACGTAGCTCCAATGAGTGCCTGGTTCGGGTTCGAACGACGGCGGTGAATCCGATAGACCTGGCCATGCTCCGGGGATACGGAGCCGCGGTGCTGAACAAGATGCGTTGTCAGCCCGGCGATGGCATCGAGTTCCCGCTCACACTGGGTCGTGAGTTCTGCGGCGAGTTGGTCCAGAAGGGCATGGGTGTCCCAGCGGACACCCTGCCACTGGGAACTCGAGTCTGGGGAGTAGTGCCGGTGCAGGCCAGTGCTGGAGCGCATGCGGAATACGTGGCGGTGCCTTCTTACTGTGTAGGTGGAACTAGGCTCCGCTCATAATAAGGTCACCATAAAATGTTTGCCTTTCAGCTCGCCCCTGCCCCCAAAGAACTGGATGACAGTGAGGCAGCTAGCGTGTTGTACGCTGGATTAACTGCCTGGTCGGGTCTCTACATCACCGGTGGCCTGGGCGGACCGTGTGGCGCTGTTACAGCTGACGGAGGTGGTGCCCACAAGCGCGTCTTGGTTCTCGGTGGCTCGGGAGGCGTTGGCTCTCTGGCTATTCAAATGCTAAAGTCACAAAAGGTGCAAGTACTCGCCACTTGTAGCGAAAATGCCACTGAAATGGTGCGCAATCTGGGTGCCGATTTGGTAGTGGACTACAACAACAGCGAGGCCATGGAGGAGCTCTGCAAATATGCACCCTACGACATTGTCCTGGACTGTTCCGGCCAAGGAGGCGAGAAGGCAGCGGAATCAAAGTTTGATTTCCGGCAATACATCACCTTCTCATCGCCTCTGCTAGCCAACATCGATAAGCAAGGGCTGGGCCTGGGAGCATTGAAGAATGTTTTTGACTTGGTCCAGACCAATATCAGGTCCGTGTCGCAACGCGGCGGCCTGGTTAAGTGGGGATTCTTCAGTCCCGCTCCGCAGGGCATACAGTTCCTTAAAAAGCTAGTGGAGCAACGAAAGGTCAGTGCTTGAATCCGTAACGGGAACGTTTCTAATAATACTATTCTCTAGCTGATGCCGCAGATCGATAGCAGCTACGGCTTTGGGGATCTACCGCAAGCCTTCGAGAAGATGAAAGGCGGACACTTGCGGGGCAAGATTGTGGTTAAGCTCTGAGAGGGCGAAATAGGCTGACATTAAGCTTTAGTTGCTGTTTTATTAAACGCTGATGTTTGTTAATTTAAAGCCTTTTACTAATTTCTTTTTGAAACACCGACTATCATACTTTGACCGAAGCTCCCGTGACGCAGTTTCTAGTGCACTCCAAGACCTGGCATTGCATCACGGGGTTCAGCGTTTTTATGAGTTTATATAGCTGATCTACTGACGCATATCAATATTTTTGTTATAAAAATTAATCGACGAGCTTGCCTTTCGATTATGGATCACCTTTAAATCACCGTGAAAAACCTGCCGTCCCAGCCTCTTGGGATCGCTCTTATCGTCCATCGACTAGACTGAAGGGCAACTGGTCGGTGTTACACAGTCGGGCTTCCAGGCTAGCTGCAGCCCTATTGGCCAAATCAGTGATTCAGCTGATCATAAAACTATCCCGGGACACCACGACACACGCCAGCGCCCGCGTAAATTTCCGTGCGTCTAATTGTATGTCATCGACTGCCTGCCTGGCTAGCTGGCCGATACCCAGATTCCTTATCAGCCATCGAGTGGTGGACGCAGCACGCGGGCCGCCTCCGCTAATCACATCGTTCTCATGCGTTTCCAACCGCTCCCAGGCATCGGAACATGAGCTATCGCCAAGGTCGAGGCTTCCCAAAAAAAGAAAAATAACAAAGCCTCTCCATCACCGCTATCATCCGACGTAGCCGGCAAAGAAAGCGAAGAGTGCACGCGTCTCTGTTTTGTTTTGGTTTTTATTAATAGCTCTCAATTTGTTACTGGGTCCCGGCGTAGCTTGATATGAAGGAAAATGTTTAATAGTGGCTAGCTGGCTTTCAAATGCCCTTTGAAAATGATATGAAAATGTAAACTAATAACTATATGAAATGATGACCAGATGCAGAGTCTTATTACCTATCTAAATTCGTATTTATTTCATACTTCGAGAAGCCACAGTAATCTCAGAGTCATTATACCCCTTGGCTAGAGTGTATTCCTAGAGATTTGCAAGAGGGAAAATTTGTCGTGTGAGCTTTCTGAAGACCTTGAATTCCCTCCCAGAGCTTATCGTATCTCTGAATAAAAAATCAGCTATTATTGGGAAAAATTGCCAAGGCAGTAACACATTCGAGTGTCTGGAAACATAATGTAATGTCAAGCATCCATTTAGTTGTTTGGGTTTATTCTGAACTTTGTCAACGACTTTACATTTGTTTTTCCCATGTCACTCACTGGGAGGTAATGGAAATCCCAGGAAACTCGCTCAGACAGGAGACTATCAACAGTTTAGTTGCTAAAATTGGTTCCTTTCTTCTTTCAATTATTTGCATTTGATTTACAAAAATTATTGGGTCTCGTACATATGGATGAAATAAAAGCTTGATTCGCTATAAATAATTCATTGAATTTAATGTGATTTGTTAAACTAATTTCTATGTTTCGAAATACACCCAGTAGTCTGATATATTAGTTGTTGAAAATGTTAAATGCCCTAGTAACCTTTGACTTTTTGGTTTATTACACACACACACTTTTCATAGAAATCCCATTGGAAATAGTAAAATTGTAAAAAATAAATTGTTTTGTAAATACTTTATACAACTTTTGGAATGGATTATATTGAGTCAACCTTGCTGCCCTTTATAATGGAATTGATCAGTCGACAAGATAATATGTGTAAGTTGGGCTACGGTATCATCTGTATAATTACTCCTTCATCTAGAAAGAGGAGCACTAAGAAATTTAAGTTATTTTATTATAAAAAAAAAATAAATAAAACTACCTACAATTGTGATATTTTTCCTCCTTCTTATATCAGGCACCACAGTGGATGAACTGACGGAGGCCGTGAAAGACGCAGTGCTTGCTGAGCACATACACCCTTTCGGAACCCTCGAGCTTGCCGTACGATTTGCTTTGGAAGTGGGCTCCAACATGGGGATCCTTACATTGAACGACGAAGTGGTCCCAGAACCGTTCAATTTCAATGCCAAGAAGCCAACTCCGAGAACGCGGTACACAGCCGCCCAAGGACGCAAAGCTGTGAAGAGAGTACAGGCCAAGTCGAGGGGCAAGCCGAAGCCCAAGGTCAAAGCTTGTGCCGGAAAGCGTCTGGGAAAGAAGCCTGTGGCTAAAAAGCAGGCAGTGTGCAAGGTCGGTCGAAAAGGAGCCGGACAAATTCGAAAGGCCAAACCGAAGAAGCAATGTTGAAAGAATCGGTGTTCTTGAACCAAACAGCATGGGGGCTCTCGGAAACTGGGTTAACCATTCGATGTCAGCTGCGATGGCACACACTTGGACTAATTACCAGGGCATAGGCACAGAGAAATAAATACACCAAATCAGCGGTGCACTTGTCCCTCTCCTGGACAACGTGATTTCTATTCGATTTAGTCGCAAAATTAGAGGCAGGTTTAGCATAAAACTGAATAATTCAACGGCTGGCGGTGGAAATTTTGCCACAGTCATAATGAAATCGGGTGGGTTTAGCTTAGTCGTGCTTACGCGGACAATTAAAAATGCGCCTTTTGGTGGCCACCGATCCCCGGTGCCCCCGCAGACCGAATATATATAAAGAATTCGATGGGTGCGGCCCTTGTTCAGTCTGTCTGCGGAATAAGTCGGAACCATTCGTGCCCACCAAAAAGGATATACCATATCGAACTCGAGTTACATAAAAGGACTATTCGCACTATATATTCAATATCCTTTTTGCTCCCAACGGACATAGAAAAAGGATACGCGATCAGTGAACTAGAGGGACTGTGAAAAAGGGATTTAAAAGCCCTCTAAAACGCACTACGTTCCAAAAAAGTGTCGCATCGAAAGTGAGTCAAGTGAAATTGTGGTGTGTTTTCGCAGTCTTGCGATCTACTTCATATATTTAAATAATTAAGTTACTTTGTCATTGGAATTACAAACTGCGTCTGGATAAAGTTACACAGACGTACCAAGATTGAGTGCTTGTGTTTTAAAAGTGTTTTTTACCATAAGAGTATTTTTGGTGGTGTAATATGAAAAAACTTAAAATATAAACAATAACAATTAAAAAACATATATATAAATGTATATATATAACTTAAATGTAATAATAAATATTCTTGAAACATCCTGTAAAAAAAAAGAAACTATCTTTTGTTTTGTTCCAATCGTTGTGGTAAAAAAAATATATTATTTAGAAAAAAATACTCTAAAATCCTGGTTTGTATTTCAATTTAATAAAGAAGGAACATAATATGTGGGAGCGGACTCCATTTAAAAGGACTTTGGTTTAGTTTTATTATATTATTTTAACTACTTGAATGATACCTTAACTTTTCAAATGTTTTTAATTAAAAAAACACAAGTATTTAAAGTATTTATATTTATTAATTAATCTTCCTTCAAGTTCAATAGAGTTAAACAGAATAGGTGTGGTATATATATTTCCAAGCTTATACTTCATAGGCTTTATTCCAAAATTATTTAACAATCGCTAGGTCATTAAAACACACTTAGTATTCCACTAATCTCGAAATCCTCAGACTACAAATCTGCTTTTGAGACACCTCTCGAACCCAACAGACACTTCTGTGTTCGTGGCACGCGCCACTGTCGATTATGCGAGTGTTTTTTTGGGGAAAATAATAATAATTATATTCCGGCAAGTGCTTATCGGGGCGCTATCCCTATCCCCCAGGTGCAGTGCACGCACTCGAGAGCTGGACGACTGTAATCTCGAGAGCCGACAGCTCCCGTAACCTGGCAACAGGAAACCCAGTGCTGTGACCCGCACCCTTACCCTGCCGTGCTGGCCGGACTACAGAATCTGCCGAGTCGGCGAGTCGTACGATCGGTGCACATATTTAGTGGTGATAGGAGGAGGAAAGGTGACTGCTGCTGCTGCTGCAGCGGCCTCTTATCAGTCCTCAAGGCGACAATATTCACATAAAAGCAAGCCGAGAGCTACGACCATTTCAGGATCGATTGCCATCAAGTGCTTACTCATGAAAATTCGATTGGGCTTCGAATAAATATGCCTTATCAATAAATCTCAGATTTAGCGATTAGAATATACTATATTAGTCATTTGCCCCACAAGTTGTAGAAATTCTACAGCCACAAAAATGTTCTTCATTTCTTATATCTCTTTAGAGGGTTTTTGATTTTTCGAAATTGATTTGACAGATTGAAATCTTTCGAAACATTGAATTCTTTGAAACTATAATTCAAGATATAGTTCGAAAACAATTGATAAACTGTTAGGTTATTATGGAATCTTTTCAAAGCATTTTGATAACCTAAGCTGAAACAAAATCTGTTTAATTAGGTTTAAATCCTCTAACAAAAGTGAAGGTTAAATTACCTTACTTATTGTTACAGATACTTACTTATTGTTACAGATTTTGAGATTAAAATATACCTACAGTACAGTAATATTTAAGTATCAGCATTTAAAATCCTAAAAATTGTATACAAATACACTTTTTTTTAAGGAACATTATCTTTAATTAAGGTCTTTGTATTTGAAACCATACATATATTACCATATATTTTTGTGTAGACATTTTTAGCAACTACTTTAAATATTTATAAGGCGTATCATTCTTATTTCGTTATCTCGAACGTTTCCTTATTATTATTTTTGCTATTTATTAATTGATATCATTTTGGCTGCGTATGGTTAAGCTTGGGCTACATTCCATGGTAAAATCTTATGCTGGAAATAAAGGTTGTGAACTTATATATCCTAAAAACAAAATTAATTCTATAAAGCTATAAAGAAAATTAAATATTTTATTTACTTTTCCTTTAATGATTGGTATTTGAACTTTTATTTACCCAAAACCTTTGTATAAACTCCAAGATCTCCGCATAGTTGGGCACCTTAACCCCGAACCAGAGACTTAACCAGCAGAATGCCCAGTAAGAAGAAGCCGCAGGCAGAGGCCGCAGCTGGCGAGGATGGAGATATCGTGATCTCTGGTATCTCCGGTAAACTGCCAGAAAGCAGTAGCATCGAAGAGTTCAAGTACAACCTGCTCAATGGCATAGACATGGTCACAGAAGATCCCAGGCGCTGGGAGGCAGGTAAGTGCTGATAACATATTCCTAGCTATAAAGCTTTGAAAAAACAAGAAAGAAAGCTAACTTCGGCACGCCGAAGTTTGTATACCCTTGCAGATTGGTTTTCATATTTATGTCATAAATTATAATGCCGAAAACAGACACTAAACTGAGTTACATACCATTTTACCTATACTTATTATGTTTGCAGTTTGACAGTTACAGTTATACATTCCCAGCTTTACATTTTCTCTACATCTGATCGCTTCTATGGCTGCTATATGATATAGTTGTCCGACTTTCATAAAATGTATACCAAAATTCTATAATAATAAGTAAAGCTCATATCTCAGAGTAGATGAAAATACATTGAAAAACAACGAAGTTATAATTTTTTCTATTACTTTCCCTATCGTTCCTATGGCAGCTATAAGATATAGTCTTCCGATTGTCATAAAATTTTTACCAAAATTTTGAAATAATACCAGAAGCTCATGTGTCAAAGTAGATTAAAATACGTTGAAAAACAACGAAGTTATGATTTTTTTGATTAATTTCCCGATCGTTCCTATGGCAGCTATAAGATATAGTGGTCCGATTTTCATAAAATTTTTACCAAAATTCTGGAATAATATAAAAAGGCTATATCTCAAAAATGATGGAATAATATTGAAAAACAGCCAAGTTAAAATTATTTTTCTAAAAATTTATTGAACATTTGTATGGCAGCTATATGATATAGTCGTCCGATCCGGCCCGTTCCGACATATATAGCAGTGAGAGTATATAGAAGACTATATGCAAAGTTTCATTCAGATAGCTTTAAAACTGAGGGACTAGTTTGCGTAGAAACGGACAGACGGACGGGCAGACGGACAGACGGACAGACGGACGGACAGACGGACAGACGGACATGGCTAGATCGACTCGGCTGTTGATGCTGATCAAGAATATATATACTTTATAGGGTCGGAAACGTCTCCTTCACTGCGTTGCAAACTTCTGACTGAAATTATAATACCCTGCAAGGGTATAATAAAAACGAAAACTAGAGCGTTTTGTGCTAAAAACGTAATTTATTTGCTTCATAAAAGCATTTAATTTGAAACTCAAATGCCAGGTCAAAGTTTTCCCTCAGCTGCAAAAAGCGAAAACAATGAAATTGACTCACGCATACAACCATCCATAGGGAACCTCCCCTCCGTCTGCCTCCTATCCAGGCTCTTGAAGAGCCACCGACGAGTCTTGAGACCCCCGCTTCGTGGACCCAATAATTCCCAACTGGTTATCGCAAACTTTGTACAGAGAGTTCCTCGATTTCGGGGGTAAATTTAATGTCTTGAACTTCGCTTCGGCGATGGAAGTTGCACCAATATTATGATTCACAACGGAGCATAAGTAAAGACATTCATTTATCCGAGGCAATTTTTTGAAGTGCCTGGCTGGTTTTCCGCCGGGCCATTGAGAATAAATTTAAAAACTGGTTTAGCTGGGAGCTAACAATGGAGCGCACTCACATGTGGATTTCCTCAAGCTCTTAAAGGGTCGAAGATCGGCTATCATTTACCAGAAGTGCCGAGCTTAAAGGGCTTTCATAATTCCATGATTGGAATAAATATTAACCGAACAATTTTAGAGAAACTTTTATTATTTGCTGCTCCATTACTCTTTTTTTACAAAGGCATCTACGGTCTTCCCGAGCGCATGGCTAAAATGAAGGACTCCGATTTGGAGAAGTTCGATGACAAATTCTTCAGCGTCCACCAGAAGCAGGCGGAGCTGATGGACCCCTGCATGCGAATGCTGCTCGAACTGACCCACGAGGCCATCATAGATGCCGGCATCAATCCCGTCCAGCTGCGTGGAAGTCGCACTGGCGTCTACATCGGGCTCTCCTTCGTGGAGACGGAGCATGAGATACCCAATATGGAGCCGAGCACAATCAATGGCTACTGCTTGACGGGATGTGCACGAGCCATGTTCGCCAACCGGATCTCGTACACGTTTGACTTTAAGGGTCCCAGCTTCATAGTAGACACCGCGTGCTCCAGTTCGCTGGTGGCCCTGAATCACGCTTTCGCGGACATGCGGGCTGGTCGCTGTGACTACGCCTTGGTGGCGGGCGTGAATCTCATCCTGAAACCGATCTTTGCCCTCCAGTTTCTGCGGCTGGGCATTGTGAGCCATGATGGCGCTTGCAAGACATTCGATGCGGCGGCCAACGGCTATGCCCGAGCGGATACGTGTGCGGTGGTCCTGCTCCAACGGAGGAAGGAGGCCAAGAGGGTCTACGCCAGTATCCTTAATGTGCGCACCAACACGGATGGCTTCAAGGAGCAGGGCGTAACCTTTCCGGACGGACGCATGCAGCATACACTGCTGGAGGAGACTTACAGCGAGATCGGACTGAATCCAGACGAGGTGGTCTACGTAGAGGCGCATGGCAGTGGTACACCCGTGGGCGACGACCAGGAGGCCAACATGCTCAGTAATTTCTTCTGCCGTCCTTCGCGACCAAGTCCCTTGCTCATTGGATCCGTCAAATCCAACATGGGCCATGCCGAGCCGGCGTCGGGTGTTAGTGCCCTGGCCAAGATGATCATCGCAATGGAGGAGGGTGTGATCCCGAAGAATCTGCACTACCGCACCCCGAACCCTGCGGTTCCAGCTTTGGTCGACGGACGTCTCAAGGTTGTGGATCGAAATCTGCCCTGGCAGGGTGGCATTGTGGGTTTGAACTCGTTTGGCTTTGGCGGAGCAAATGCTCATGTCGTTCTCAGATCGCATGCGAAATCCAAAACTCCCAGGGCATCATCCAAGCAGTCCCTGAGGCTGGTCACCTGCTCCGGACGCACAGAGGAAGCTGTGCAGAAGCTACTATCAGTGGCCACCGAGAACCGCCAAGATCAGGAGCTGCTGACCCTTATTAACGACATCCATGCTCAGCCGATTCCTCTGCATCCGTTCAGAGGATATGCTGTCCTGGGCTCTAGTGGTTCCGTCAAGCAGGAGGTGCTGCCCTTCGAGGAGGAAGAGCGACCAATTTGGTTTGTTTATGCCGGCATGGGAAGCCAGTGGCCCAGCATGGCCAGGGATCTCATGAAGCTGGAGGTATTCCGGAAGTCCATAGAACAATGTGCCGAGGTAAGCGGATTGTTTTCTCTGATCTAATCTAAATCAGATTTTAGGAATATAAACCCATTCGATTTATCAGATTCCTCACAAACAATTATTTTGTGTTACCTGAGCCCATCCCCTTTTACCTACATATGTTGCCTACCTTAGGGTGTCTTTTTTTACCTCTTCCTGTTCACTATAATTCCCAACTGCTTTTGGCTCGCAACAAATAGAGAGGCCCTTCTTGCGGGGTTGATAATCACTCTGGCTTCTCTTCAGTTGTCGAATAAATCTTTCGCCTTTTACTAAAGATTTCCGTGGAGAGGAGCACTCTAATGAGTCTAAAATAATTTTTTAGTAGCGCCCATGTTTCGACGTGGGCCATAAATAATAAATTTCAAATATTTGATAAACTATTAAAAGTTGATTAAGTTGAAGCGTTTGTAAATAATGACTTATAGCTTGACTTTTCCATGTTTAATAAAATTTTCTATAGTTCCCATTGGCTCTAAATTTAAATTTAAATACTTGGCATACACTAATTAACAACCATATTTATTCGTAAAGTACATTAATAATTTGTACATTATTTTATTTAAAACGCGCACTTTTAAAAAAGATACATGGCAACTGAATCTGTTATTAGCAAACGCTTTCTTATCTGTTTTCAGGTCCTGTCCAAGCTGGACTTTGATCTAATTGACGTCCTGACCCGTTCCACGGAACGCACCTTTGACAACATGCTGTATTCCTTTGTCTCCGTGTCCGCCATTCAGGTGGCTCTAACGGATCTCCTCCGCACGCTGAACATCCGACCAGATGGAATCATTGGCCACTCGGCCGGAGAGTTGGGAGCAGCCTACATGGATGGATGTTTGACGGCAGAGCAAACTGTGCTGGCCGCTTACTGGCGTGGAAGGAGTGTCCTGGACACTCCGGACTTGCCGCGAGGCAAAATGGCGGCAGTGGGTCTCAGTTGGGAGGAGATAGGAGGCCACATCCCGAAGGACTGCTATCCGGTGTGCCACAACAGCGATGACAACTGCACAATTTCAGGTCCAGCAGCCTCCATGGATGCCGCCATCAAGAAGCTTACGGCCGAGGGAATCTTTGTGCGGGAAGTGGGCTCTGGAGGATATGCTTTCCATAGTCCTTATATCGAGGGAGCAGCTCCCATGCTTAGCCGAAATCTGGAGAAACTGATCACCAAGCCCAAGGAAAAGAGTCCACGCTGGCTGAGCACCAGTGTCCACGAATCAGAGTGGGACACGGAGAAAAACAGCTTGGCATCTGCTGGCTACTTTATAAATAATCTGATCTCACCCGTGCTCTTCCAGCAGGCCATCAAGAAGATACCAGAGAATGCACTTATTGTGGAGATTGCACCGCATGGCCTTTTCCGGGCGATTCTTCGCTCGCTGAGTCCCCAGATCAGCTACGTGAGTCTCATGCAGCGCGGTCATGCAAACAATTTTGAGTTTCTGCTGAGCCAGATTGGAAGGCTCTTTGCTGCCGGTGGTCAGCCACAAGTCCTGAAGATCTCCCCGCAAATATCCTATCCCGTATCACGAGGCACACCCATGTTGGGTTCCTCGATTGGCTGGGATCACTCGCAGAAGTGGAACTACCCCAAGTTCAAGGGTGGGCGACAGGCTGGCCAGCTGAGTGTAGAGCTGGACCTGAGCAAGGAGGAAAACGCATTCCTGGCGGGACACACTATTGATGGCAGGATCCTCTTTCCGGCCACGGGCTACATGACGCTCGCCTGGATGAGTCTGGCCCAGCAGCAGGGATTGGACTATCTGCGCACCCCCGTTCTCTTTGAGAATGTCGTTTTCCACCGGGCCACGATTCTGGGAGTAGGAACAGTGGTCAAGCTAACGCTTAACTTCTTCCCAGGTAGCAGCTGCTTCGAAATCTGCGAGGGTAGCAGCCTGGTGGCCTCGGGAAAGATCCAGCTGGTATCGGGTAACGTGCAGCAGGAACAGCTCCAGCTGCCTTCACTTCCAGGTATCGCTGGGTCCCGGCGTCTAAGCACCAAGGATATTTACAAAGAGCTAAGACTGAGGGGCTACGACTATAGCGGGGTTTTCCAGGGAATCCTGGAGTCTGACATTGCGGCGGTAAAGGGCCGTCTGCAGTGGGCAGACAACTGGATCAGCTTCATGGACACAATGCTGCAGTTCCGAATCTTGAGCAAGGACATCCGAGAGCTCTACGTGCCCACAGGTATCGAGCGGGCTCTGATTAATCCCCTCAAGCACTTGGAGCTGGTGAAGAAGCACCAGGAGAAGCTGCCTGTCAACTGGCACAGCAATATATCGGTGGTCAAATGCGGCGGCGTGGAGATCCACAAGATGAAGACCGCTCAGACACAGAGGCGATCGGGCGGCCAATCGGCGCCCAGTGTGGAACGCTATCGATTCTGGCCCTATGTCCAGCATCTGAGTCAGCGGGAGGATCAGCAGAGATCGAGGAGCTCGGTCTTGGCAGTTGCCATTCAGCTCATCGTCGAAAACAGCGGCGGGGCTGTAAAGATCAAGGGTGTGGAACTGGCTGAAAGTCGCTCCACTCTGGATACTCTGAGTGCCGTGCAGCTTGTTAGGCTGATTGAGAGGGAACCCATTCTGGTGGGCGATCTGTCGGTAGTCACCTCCACCTCTGCCAATGAATCAGAGCTCAGTGAGCAGCTCAAGGAACATGGCATTCGAGTGGTGGTCAAGGATGTCTCAGCTGGGGCCGTGGATCAACAGTGCCACTTTGTCCACTCCGTGGATATGTTATCGAAAAAATCTCTCAAAGATCTGCAGCATTGCCTTGAAAGCCTAAAATCAGAGACTGGATTCCTGCTCCTGGATGAATCAGGAAGCACATACACGCAAGTAGGAAAAGAAAAGCTAGGTAAACTCCAATTAGTGCCCGTATTGGAGCAGTTCTTTGGATCAGATCGTGTGCTGGTCTTGGCCAGGAGGTCTGCAAGTCCCAGTCAACATCTGATAATGCAGCTAAGCAACAAACAGTTCAAGTGGGTCAACGAACTAAAGAACTATATGGTTAAGGCCCAAGCTGAAAGCAGAATCCTCTACTTGGTGGCCCAAGGTGAGCCCGACTCTGGTGCCTTGGGGTTGATGAATTGCCTGAAGAGGGAGGCTGGAGGAAACAGTGTCCGCCTTTATCTAATCCTGGACGAAGGTCTGCCCAACTTTTCCCTGGAGGAACCCTTCTACGCCGGACAATTGGCCAAGGATCTGGCTATTAATGTGTACAAGAATGGCAACTGGGGCAGCTACCGTCATCTGAAAATGGATTCCCAAGCACCTATGTTGCCCGTGGAACAGGCTTATGTGAACACTCTGGTTAAGGGCGATCTCTCCTCGCTTCGCTGGATCGAGAGTCCGCGTTCCAGTCCCTCACAGTCCCATCTGGAGCCCTGCACCGTGTACTATGCTCCTCTTAACTTCCGGGATGTTATGCTGGCCTCGGGAAAATTAGGAGTGGACGCTTTGCCAGGCGACCTGGCCTATCAGGATTGTGTTCTGGGACTAGAGTTCTCTGGCAGAGACTCTCGCGGGCGTCGCGTAATGGCCATGGTCACGGCCAAGTCGCTGGCCACTAACTGCTTGGCCAACAAGAGTCTGCTGTGGGAAATTCCCGAGAAGTGGACCATGGAGCAGGCCTCCACGGTACCATGTGTCTATGCCACCGTCTATTACGCCTTGGTGGTGCGAGGTCAGATGAAAAAGGATGAGAAGATCCTTATTCACGCCGGCTCCGGCGGGGTCGGCCAGGCAGCCATCTCGGTGGCTCTCTCCCATGGACTGACCGTGTTCACAACAGTCGGAAGCAAGGAGAAGCGCGAATTCCTGCTAAAGCGTTTTCCCAAGCTTCAGGCCAAACATATTGGGAACTCCCGGGACACATCCTTTGAGCAGCTGATCATGAACGAAACCCATGGCGAGGGAGTGGAGCTAGTGCTCAATTCCTTGTCCGAGGAAAAGCTTCAGGCCTCCATCCGCTGTCTGGCCCTTAATGGACGCTTTCTGGAGATTGGCAAGTTCGATCTGAGTAACAACACTGCTTTGGGTATGTCGGTGTTCCTCAAAAACACATCCTTCCACGGTATTCTTTTGGACAGTGTGATGGAGGGCGAGGAGGAGATGCAGCTGGTAGTGGCCAAATTGGTATCCGAGGGCATCAAGAGCGGAGCTGTGCTGCCGCTGCCCACTACTGTCTTTGCGGATCAGGAGATCGAGAAGGCCTTCCGGTTTATGGCCTCAGGCAAGCACATTGGCAAGGTGGTGATCAAGGTGCGCCTCGAGGAGGAGCAGCAAACAACTCAGCCGCGTCTCCGCCAGATCCAGGCAATTCCACGCTCATACATGCATCCGGAAAAGAGCTACATCCTGGTTGGCGGTCTCGGAGGATTCGGCTTGGAGCTGGCCAACTGGTTGGTCTCCCGGGGTGCCCGCTTCTTGGTCTTGAGTTCACGTTCCGGACTGAAGAGTGGCTATCAAGCCCTGATGGTTCGACGCTGGCACGATCGCGGTGTCCAGGTGCTGATTGATACCAATGACGTGACCACTACGACGGGTTGCCAGAAGCTGCTGGAGGTGAGCAATAAGTTGGCCCTGGTCGGTGGCATCTTTAACTTGGCAGCAGTGCTTCGGGATGGCCTCATTGAGGATCAAAGTCCGAAGAACTTCGCGAAGGTGACAGCGCCCAAACTGCTGGCCACTAAGCATCTGGATCAGATCTCACGGGGCCTCTGTCCCGCTCTGGAGTACTTTGTATGCTTCTCGAGCCTGGCTTGTGGTCGAGGAAACCTGGGTCAGACTAACTATGGACTGGCCAACTCCGGCATGGAACGTATCTGCGAGCAGCGACAGGTCGATGGTTATCCGGGCATGGCCATTCAGTGGGGAGCCATCGGTGACACCGGCCTCATCATTGATCACATGGGCAACAATGACACAGTGGTGGGCGGCACCCTGCCGCAGCGGATGAACAGCTGCCTGGAGACGCTGGATCTGTTCCTGCTGCAACCCCATCCCGTCATGGCCTCCATGGTGATGGCTGAGAAGCGGAAAACCGGGGACCAGTCCAATCGACTGAGTCTAATCGCCACCATTGCGAATATTATGGGACTGCGGGATGTGAAGAGTGTTTCCGACAAGACAACGCTCTTCGACTTGGGCATGGACTCGCTGATGAGCACAGAGATCAAGCAGACCCTGGAGCGACACTTCGATCTGGTGCTGAGTGCCCAGGAGATCCGAGCGCTGACCTTCAGCGCCCTGCGGCAGATCGACGCCCAGGAACCGAGAGTCACTACATCCAGCGTCTCTGCATCGTCCTCAAACGCATCTCCCGCCAAGGAGGAGCCGCAGGTACAAGTGCAGCCGCAGAGCGATGAGACACGCAAGGTATTTGCCGAGGAAGTATTACCCCAGGAGGTGATGGTACGCCTTCAGTCGAAGGCGCCGGTATCCTGCGAGGATCCGGCAGTATTCTTCCTGGCGCCCATCGAGGGCTTCACCATAGCCGTGGAGGCGCTGGCCGCCTCGCTCACCTGCCCCGCCTACGGTCTCCAATGCACCGAGCAGGTGCCTCTCGACTCCATCGAGGCCTGTGCCGCCTACTATCTCCTCCAGATCCAAAGGCTTCAGCCCCGTGGTCCCTACAACATCGTCGGCTATTCCTATGGCTGTCTGCTGGCCCATGCCATCGGCGTGGCATTGGAGCAGCGTCGCTTCGGGGTCAAGGTGATCATGCTGGACGGAGCGCCCACCATGGCTAGCGGTTACGTCCAGGAAGCCAAGAAGCAGACAGACGATCTCAATCGCCAACAGTCCATGACATTGGCCTACTTTGGTGCCCTGCTCGCCGATGTGGACTACAACCAGGTGGGGTTTTGCGGTCTCTCTTCCTCTTCGACTTTGTCTTAATCATCCTGGCCTTCTTCTGACAGCTGCTGAACCTCCTCGATGGCGTTCAGACGTGGACCTTGAAGCTTGACAAACTGGCCGACACACTGGCCATTCACACGAATCAAACCAAAGAAAGGGTGAGCCTTTTCTTTTTCTTTTCTTTTTATAAATTAAAATCAATATAGAATAATTAATAAACGGTAAATCCTTAACTATAAATCTTCCCCAAACAGATAAAGAAAGCCGCCTGCATGTTTAAGCAAAAGCTAATGCTTTCCGAGAGTTACAAGGGCGCTCAGCAGCTCCACAGCGACGTGGTTTTGATCAAATCGGCCGAGCACAATGCGATCATGGCACAGGATTATGGTCTAACAGAGGTAAGATTATCTTAATCCCATTATAACGTGCAAAAATAAAATGAGATTCGATATCCTACAGATCTGCAGTGCCCAGATCGATATGCATGTGGTAGAGGGCACACACAGGACCTTCCTCAAGGAGCCGCACACCCTTCAGATAATCGAACGCGTGCTGAGGAAGCGTCCCTAATGGAATATACCTAGTTTGTAGCCTTATAAATACGATTGTGTTGATGATTTATTTTGTAGCTCTTAAGGTATCCCCTCTACTAATATACCTAGTTTGTAGCCTTATAAATACGATTGTGTTGATGATTTATTTTGTAGCTCTTAAGGTATCCCCTCTACTAATACGAATACACGTATCAATCTGGCACGGATTGTTTAAGCACTAGCAGTTTATTTAAATACAGTCGAGCTTCACTAACTTGAACTTCTGGGGTTACAGATATTTAGGGTTTTATTATTTATTTTATATCTGATTTAAATATTTTTCTCATATGGTTTGAAATCGATTTGTAAAAGTTTTCAACAATACAAATTTTGTATCTTTTAAAAATCTACATATTATAGCTTAATGTTAAATGCTCATAACACCCAATTAACTAGAATTACTGTTCTACAATGACAAATTCAATTATAGCCCTAACTTTTCCATATCGCAGATAGATTTCAGTTAGAGAAGATCGCCTGTATTTCGAGTTTTTAGTCGCAAATTACACTCGCGTGGCACTCGCATGATTTCTTCGATGAATCATGATTAGAGGCGGCGATCTGATCGCTCTGGCTGGCTTTTTTGGCTTTATTGACCCGCTAAAACCGACTTCTGTGTGTACCTTTCCACAATTGATAATGATTCCTACACAATCATGGCTGTGATCTTGCCCAGACGACGATTAATAATTGTGGAAAAAAGTGGTCCGACTTTGGCGGGCAAATCAAAATTTGTACATCTGTGTCACGCACAAAACAGCTGACAAACTTATCGCTGTTAATAACAGCAACAGTAAAATAAGTTTAAATTTGAAAATCCGAAGTTTAAACTCCCTTCTAAAAATTAACAAGACTGAGAATAACAGAAAATTCGGCAGAATGACTACTATAACATTAAACATTATACAGTATTCAATTACTTAAACAAATTAAGAGTTTTCGCATACTGAGAGTTAAAAGTCATAACTATAGATACATTTTTTTATTTACATCATCTTGGAAAGAAAGTAAATGCTCTAGCAGCTTTGTTGCGTTTATTTTTAATTTAAAGGTAAGTTTATAGATGTTTTCCCTTCCAGCCCCAGGAGCATAAACTAAGTTTGCTGTACCCTTTGAAAGGGTATCTAGACAACCCTACACTCCCTCGCAAAGGTTAACCCAGAAAGCTCAAAGAGCGAGAACTTTCATCCCGCTCTCCGCTCAGCGGCGCCATAATATAATAAGTGGAAGGTGGTCTCTGCGGCAAAAAGTTCCAAGAGCAAAAAGTTTCGACAAGACCACCTAATCTTCTTTCATCATGCGACTCAAAGCTTTCTGCCGGCGTCGGCGCCCGCTGGCGACGTATAAAAGCCGGCGCTCACCTGATTCCAAGACTAATAATTCGCATTTTCCGTTCGCAGTCGCAGCAGCCGTCGCTACCGCTTTCAAAAATACCAAGTGTGTGGCAAATTAATTTGCAAAAAAATAAAAATCGTCAGCTAACGGTACCGAAGAACATTAAGTCAAACAGAGTGCTTGAAAAGTGTCTGTGTACATTTTTGGGATATTACGAGTGTCACGTTACGTAGTGGTTATAACGGTTTCGGAAGTCAGTAAGGACCAACTGCCCAAGGAACCCGCTATCCACACTGCGCCGCTCCTTTTACGCCCCGTTGCTACGCAAAACAGCTGTCGAGGAATCGCCTGATTTCTAGGTATGTACAAAAAACATGGCAGCCACAGGAATAAAGCGTGTGTGTGTGTGTGTGTTGGTGTATGTACGCGACAGAAAATGAAAACGAAATTGTCTGGACTTGAAGTGAGAACCATTCGGTGAAGCTCCTCCTGGAAAACGGATGCTGAAAAGTGCTATAGAAAATCGGGATAAATAATGGTTAGATCTAAAAAATTCCCAATTGTGCTCAGATCGTTTGCTAAGTTTGCTAAAAATACAAATTACACAGAGCTTCGCCTTTGCTCGGGCTCAGCGCTTTTTATGCATGGCTGTTGGTGACCTTTAGGACCTTTGGGTTTGAACCAGCCCCAAAGTGTTACATCCGCCTCCCCCACATTCCACATATCGCGATTCCCCGAGACCGCAAATTACTGCAGTCGCTAATTGGACAAACGGTGATGGGAAGGGGTTGGAGTCTGTCTGGCGAGGAGCCAAGGAGCGATCTCCACGAGGGGCTTCTCTGTAGGGTTTCCTTGGCCTTTCGGCAATTGTGCCAACTGTCTCCCTGAAGCAGCAAAAGTTCGGATTCGATTCAATTTCTCCAAATAACATCGAAATACAGTATTCAAATGCGCATTAGATGATGCTAGAAAGTGACGTTTATTGAAATGACCTAAAGTGTTTCCCTATTTAGGGTAGGATTTGAAAAATGTAAATAAATTTAACATAAAAACGGCTTCGATTGCATTTTTTTTTAGTTATTTTTTTATTCAATAGTTTTTCAATTTTTAAATTACAAAAAGTGAATTAGTTTCAAAATCGGGATGGAAATTTGTCCGTTAATAATGAATAAAGTTTATTTTTTTTACCAAGCTCACTTCTAAATTTAGTTCGCATATTATCTGCATGTTTCTGAATTAATAATGTAACCAATTTTAGTAAATGATCAAATTTTCAAAGCATTTCCCGGTTGCGTGCCTCAATTTAATTTCTTTGTAATCAAACCTAAGTAAACAACCATTTTAAGCGTTTTTTTTTAATAATTTAAAAATGGCTTATATAAAATAAATGAACATAAATAAAATCCAAGCTTTTAAGTTTTTTAGAAAGTTATAAAATCAAAACATTACATAAAATAATTTAAATTAAAAAAGTTTTAATTCTAATTCTAATTCTTAGAATCTAGAATTCCTAAAGCTCTATTAATTGTAGTTCAAGTGTGTTATCTGTCCGCGATCATTTTGCATATAAAGCAGCTCGCCCAAAAAAAAAAAAGCCCATTAAAAGCAGCTCGCACGCCCAACAAAACAAAAACAAAAATCGAGGAGTGATTGGAAAATTTCGAGTGTCTGGCTTATCTTTATGGGCCAATAATAGCGCTTCCTGAAGAACACGCGTCTAAACGGCGATCAAACATTTCCGATCCAGGTGCAGAGTCGTATGAGTAGGCAGCGCCTTATCGCTGCTATCGCCTCTTTTGGAATCACCCCATGTCCCAGTCTTGCATCCACACTGGCTATCTCCGCGCCCATGAACTTGAAGTGGTGCGTCGTCACCGGCCCATAGTGGGCGGTGGTGATGACGCGTACACGTGTACTTGGGGCCCTCCCTAATCGATAACTGTGAAAATAGAACCGAGTGCATAAATAAACAGTGTAAAGTGCCCGGTGCCCTGTGGAAAATAGGGAGAAGGGGTTAATGTTTGCTGATTTGTATGTATGTGTATGTACATGTGGGTGTTTGTGTTTTGTTTGCCTTTCCAATGACGCAACTTTGGCAATATGGCCTGATGATAAATGAATAGATGGATCGATTGGCAACAGTATTGATAAATCATGACGCTCCTGCAACCACGACTGTAAAAGGATATGCGAGAGGTCCGATTACAGTCGATTCCCCGAATGAGGAAGCAGTAAAACAGCGCATCTCCCGGGCGATGGAATTAATACCTCAATGAACTTGAGAATCACGCCACCTAATCTCGCCAAACAAATGGTACACGCGTCCAGAGCGTGTGTGTGTTCGGATTGTGTTAGTATGCCGGCTGTGTGCCTCTCTCTTTCTCTGTGTTCCCATCGCTCCCACATGCGATTACAATAGCAAAACATAAACATTGAATCCCAGACGCGACTGTGTCGATGTGAGGAGCCAACGGCCTTTTGATTGAATAGATAAGCCCGCTGAGTCGGCCGATTTAGGCGACAGCTCAAAAATACACTTGGAGAAACTAGCACATGATTTAAAAAAAACCTTTCAAGAGGGCAACCTATAGCTTTGGGCTTAGCCACAGTGAAAGTAAATTGTGATTAAATTGATAAAAATGTTATTTTCTCATATCAAAAAACTGTTAAAAAATAAAGTTGTTAGTAAACAAATATCTGAAAACAAAACACGAACAAAAGGGAAAAGTAAAAAAGCTTAATCTACTCTACCCATTTATCTGTTAAGATAATTTGGCATTTATTTTTCTCTGTGTAATATGGTATTGGTATTTGAGTTCCTATATTTCGCTTTCTGCTTTGTTGCTGACCGCTCTTGTTCTGGCTCTTGTTCTTCTAACAACGCTTTCGGCTTCCCCAGATTTTTTGCAGCTTTAACCGACTTCGTCACTCCGCACCAGCTAATTCCACTTATTTTATTTTCCCTCCTTTTGTTGAATCATTCTGCACATCGTACGAGTTTCTCGGCGAATAAGAAAGCAGCTTGTGTTTGGGTAAGAGCTGTGTGTGCCTGTGTGTGTGTGTGTAGCAGCAGCTTAACACAAGCTGTGTTGCACTGTTAGCTTCGCATTGCCACAAGTTGCTGTGAGAGCGGCTAACGGTTGTCATCACGCCACAACCACAACAAAAACCGGCGTGCGCCCAGCATATGGGCGGCAAAAGCTCCACCCGGCTCGGCATCACCTGATTTGCAATTTCTACACCAACTTTCCACCGCCGCTTCGCCCAGCCCATCTGTCTGTCTGGATTCCACCGGCATCCGCTCCAGAGAGCAAAAGCTTTGGCCAACTGCAGAGAGCAAGCTTTCTTATAGCACTAATATTGGAGGCAGTCACAATATTTGCGACACTACTGTGCTAAATTATGGGATTATTCCTAATAAATATATTTTATTCACTGCCTTTGCGTTGGTGACGGCAAAACGTACGATTAGAGAATTTTAATTTCCAGCTGACCATAAGAAAAAAAAATTAAAGACTGTTTTTTACAGTTCGGTTCCTTAAAAATATTGTTAAAACTTAGGTAAAAAATTTGAAAAACAAATTTTCACCTAAAAGGTAGGCAACAGATTAGTTCTTCCGACTCCTTTTAAGGTATTTTATAATTTTTGTAAGAATTTTGCAACGCAATGTCAAAAACTCAACAAAAACAACATTTTTTAAAGTTATAATCAATTTGCAATTCGATCGAATGATACAATTACAAGCTGCAAGGATAAGCACTCATTAACTTGCCGAAGCTTGCTTTGTATCTTGTTTTAGGACTATATTTACAATTACAAGAAGCGTTCAAGATATATTATTCCGTTTCAGAGACCTAATGTTTTAGATATTTCAAAATTACTAAATTAAGGACTCCCTTTTATAACGTATACTTTTTCCTTACAATTGCAGTCCCTGAAACCAAACCTGTTGAAAGCCGTGGCCCAGCCGCAACCTGTTGCATTCAAGCCGAACGATTGCAGCCACCCACAGCTCCACCATTCCCCAAGCCAGCAGCAAAACGGGAAAAGTGCCCGCGCCAACCGTCGCCGTCGTCGTCGTCGCAACAAGCAGCAACAAAATTCGCAGCAACCTGACGCCTTTCAGGAGCCAGACGCGCAGCTAACACCGAGCACCTCCTCCTCCACCCCGCACTCTGCACCCGACGACAGCCACGGCATCCACCTGAACACCCATTCCCACACCAAATCCCACAAGATGCCCGCCCGATTTGCCGAGGAAGTGATCACCGCGGAGCCCGCGCAGCGTGCCGCCCCCCAATTGGACCTGGGTGGTGGTGGCTATGCGCCGCGCCCGCAGCAGCACCTCAACGATGAGATCGCCATCACCGGATTCTCCGGCCGTCTGCCGGAGAGCTCTAGCATTGAGGAGTTCAAGCAGAACCTCTTCAACGGCGTCGACATGGTCAACGATGATCCCAGGCGCTGGGAGAAGGGTAAGGATCGAGTTCTAAAATTAGTAAAGTTCCCTATTAAACAAACCGCATGCTTTCCAGGTCTCTACGGACTGCCCGACAGGATTGGCAAGCTGAAGGAGAGCGATCTGGAGAACTTTGACCAGCAATTCTTTGGCGTTCATCAGAAGCAGGCGGAGTGCATGGATCCGCTGCTGCGTATGCTTCTCGAGCTGACCCACGAGGCTATTATTGATGCTGGCCTGAATCCCAGCGATCTGCGAGGATCGCGCACTGGAGTCTACATCGGAGTGTCCACCTCGGAAACCGAGCAGCACTGGTGCAGCGACCCGGACCGTGTGAACGGCTATGGTTTGACGGGCTGCGCCCGTGCCATGTTCGCTAATCGCATCTCGTTCACCTTCGACTTCAAGGGACCCAGCTACAGCATCGACACCGCTTGCTCCAGCTCCTTGTATGCCCTGGAGCAGGCCTTCTCCGACATGCGCCAGGGAAAGATCGACAATGCGTTGGTCGCTGGCGCTGGTTTGATTCTGAAGCCCACCATGTCCCTGCAGTTCAAGAGGCTGAACATGTTGAGCCAGGACGGCAGCTGCAAGGCCTTCGATGAGTCCGGCAACGGATACGTACGCTCCGACGGCTGTGTGGTTTTGCTCCTGCAGCGCACCTCCGCCGCCAGGCGTGTGTACGCCTCAATCCTTAATGTGCGCACCAACACGGACGGCTTCAAGGAGCAGGGCATCACTTATCCCATTGGCAAGATGCAGAACCGCCTGATCCGAGAGACATACGAGGAGATCGGCCTGAATCCCAACGAAGTGGTGTACGTGGAGGCCCACGGCACTGGCACCAAGGTGGGCGATCCCCAGGAGGTCAACTCCATCACTGATTTCTTCTGCAAGAACCGCTCCAGCCCCCTGCTGATTGGTTCGGTTAAGTCCAACATGGGACACTCGGAACCCGCCTCCGGCGTCTGCTCGGTGGCCAAGATCCTGATTGCCATGGAGGAGGGCGTTATTCCCGGTAATCTGCACTACAACAAACCGAATCCGGATCTGTACGGTTTGGTTGACGGACGCCTCAAGGTGGTGGACAAAAATTTGCCCTGGAACGGTGGCATCATTGGCCTGAACTCCTTCGGTTTTGGTGGCGCCAACGCCCACGTGATCCTCAAGTCAAACCCCAAGCCCAAGGCTCTGACGCCCAAGGATGGAGCACCCAAAGTGGTGTTGGCCTCCGGTCGCACCTTTGAGGCTGTGGAGCAGCTGCTGGAGTCTGCTGCCAACCACGCAGACGACGATGAGTACCTGCAGCTGATCAACGACATCCACTCGAAGCCCATTCCGATGCACTACTTCCGCGGCTACGGAGTGGTCAGCAGCAAGGGCACCCTCCAGCGCGAGGTGCTGGAGTACTCCGATGAGAAGCGCCCCATCTGGTACGTCTACTCTGGCATGGGTAGCCAGTGGGCCAGCATGGCCAAGGATCTGATGAAGATCGAGGCGTTCGCCAATAGTATCCAGCGTTGCGCTGATGTCCTGAAGCCGGAGGGAGTCGATCTCATCGACGTGCTCACCCGTTCCACGGACAAGAGCTTCGAGAACATCCTCAACTCGTTCATCTCGATCGCTGCCATGCAGGTGGCTCTGACGGATCTTCTCAGCTCGCTGGGCATCCATCCCGATGGCATTGTGGGTCACTCCGTGGGCGAGCTGGGATGCGCTTACGCCGACGGCTGCTTCACCCCGGAGCAGACTGTGTTGGCCGCCTACTGGCGTGGCAAGAGCATCCTGGACACGCAGCTGGCCAAGGGCAAGATGGCCGCCGTGGGACTGAGCTGGGAGGATGCGCACAGCCGCGTGCCCAGCGACTGCTTCCCCGTGTGCCACAACAGCGAGGATAACTGCACCATCTCCGGCCCAGAGGCCTCGATCGAGGCTTTGGTCACCAAGCTGAATGCCGAGGGTGTCTTTGCCAAGGCCGTGAACTCGTCGGGCTACGCCTTCCACAGCAAGTACATCGCCGAGGCGGGACCCAAGCTACGTAAGAGCCTGGAGAAGATTATCCCGAATGCCAAGAACCGTACCGCCCGGTGGATCAGCACCAGCATCCCGGAGTCCGCCTGGAATACGCCGGTGGCCAAGCAGTCATCGGCTGCCTATCATGTCAACAATCTGCTGTCGCCGGTGCTCTTCCACGAGGCCCTCCAGCACGTGCCCAAGAACGCCATTTCCGTGGAAATCGCTCCTCACGGTCTGCTGCAGGCGATCCTCAAGCGCGCCCTTGGACCGGATGCGACAAATCTGAGCCTAGTCAAGCGCGGCCACGAGAACAACGTTGAGTTTTTCCTGACCAACGTGGGCAAGCTCTTCGCCGCCGGCGCCCAGCCGCAGGTCCTGAACCTGGTTCGTCCTACTACCTATCCAGTGGGTCGTGGAACCCCCATGTTGAACTCCAAGGTGGGCTGGGACCACAGCCAGAAGTGGCTGGTGGCCAAGTTCGGCAAGGAGACATCGTCCGGCGAGACCATCGTCGAGGTTGATCTTTCCAAGGAGGATGACGCCTTCTTGGCGGGACACACCATTGACGGCAGGATCCTTTTCCCCGCCACTGGCTACATGACGCTCGCTTGGCAGACCTATGCCAAGATGCGCGGCGGTGAGTTCCACAAGACGCCCGTGGTGATGGAGAACCTTGTGTTCCACCGCGCCACCATTCTTAACAAGAACGCCGTTGTCAAGTTCGGCATTAACTTCTTCGATGGAACCGGTGCCTTTGAGATCTGCGAGAGCGGCAGCCTAGCCGTTTCCGGAAGAATTACCACACCCGAGTCCATTGAGAACGAGGAGCTGCCCCTGGAGCCACAAACTGCCAGCACTGCGGCCAAGGAGCTGGCCACCAACGATGTCTACAAGGAGCTACGTCTGCGTGGCTACGACTATGCCGGAATCTTCCGCGGCATCGTTCGCTCTGACACGGTGGCTTCGGCCGGCAAGCTGCAGTGGGTGGACAACTGGATCAGCTTCATGGACACCATGCTGCAGTTCAGCATCCTGAGCAAGAACCTGCGGGAGCTGTACCTGCCCACGCGTATCGAGAAGGCGGTGATCAATCCCGCCAAGCACTTGGAGCTGCTCAGTGCTCTCAGCAAGGAGCAGCAGCTAGAGACTGGACTGCCGGTTCACTGGTACAGCGACATAAACGTGATCAAGAGCGGTGGCGTGGAGCTGCGTGGCCTAAAGGCCAACCTCGCCCAGCGTCGTCCCGGCACCCAGGCACCTCCTACCTTGGAGCGCTACCAGTTTGTGCCGAACATCAACACCACCGACCTGAATGAGAACTCGGAGAAGGCTCGCCTGCAGGCCCTGGATGTGGCCATTCAACTGATCATCGAAAACTCCAGCGGAGCCGTGAAGCTAAAGGGCGTGGAGCTGGCCAATGGACGTAATCCCGATGTGCTGCTCGCCAACCGCCTGCTGCAGATTATCGAGGGTGAGCCCGTGCTCACCGGCGATGTGGCTGTCGCTACTTCGAACAACAATGAGGAGACAATCACCGCCGCTCTCGGGGATTCCGGTGTGCGCGTCGTGAGCAAGGATGTGCTGAAGGAGCCGGTAGAGCAGAACTGTCACTTCGTCTTCGGCATCGATGTCCTGTCCCGTCCGGACACCAAGACCTTGGAGAACTCCATTGCCAGCATCCGCGAGAACGGTTTCCTGATCTTTGAGGAGACGGTGGCCACCTACACCAAGACTGGTCGCGCCCTCTTGGCCAAGTTTGGCTTCGTTGCCATTCAGGAGCAGAGTCTGGGTGCCACCCGCGTCCTGGTGCTTGCTCGCAAAGCTGTGGACCTGAAGACGCGTAAATCCGTGGTGGTTGTAGCCACTGAACAGAACTTCAACTGGGTGGATGAACTTAAGGCCGCTCTGGCCACTGCCACTACCGAGGAGCAGTACGTCTATGTTGTGTGCCAGGGAGAGGAGCTTTTCGGTGCCGTCGGTCTGATGACCTGCATCAAGAACGAGAATGGCGGCAAGCTGGCACGCCTCGTTTTCGTGCAGGACGCCAAGGCGGAGAAGTTCTCGCTGACATCGGCCACCTATCGCCCTCAGCTGGAGAAGGACCTCATCTCGAATGTGCTGAAGCACGGTGCCTGGGGCACCTTCCGCCATCTGAAACTGGAGACCCAGCAGGCCACCCTGCAGGTGGAGCACGCCTACGTCAATGCTCTGGTCAAGGGCGATCTGGCCTCGCTCAAGTGGATCGAGGCTGCCCAGACCGATACCGGCGTCACCACCGACAAGAATCTGGAGACCTGCACCGTTTACTATGCGCCCATCAACTTCCGCGATGTGATGCTGACCTCGGGCAAACTGGCCGCCGACGCCCTGCCCGGGGATCTGGCCGAGCAGGATTGTGTGCTGGGTCTGGAGTTTGCCGGACGCGACTCCCAGGGCCGTCGTGTGATGGCCATGGTGCCGGCCAAGTCCCTGGCCACCACCTGTGTTGCCAGCAAGCGCATGATGTGGCAGATCCCCGAGAAGTGGACCATGGAGGAGGCATCCACGGTTCCCTGTGTGTACTCCACCGTCTACTACGCCCTTGTTGTGCGCGGACAGATGAAGAAGGGTGAGAAGATCCTTATTCACGCCGGCTCCGGCGGAGTGGGTCAGGCAGCCATCTCGGTGGCTCTGTCCCATGGACTGACCGTCTTCACCACCGTCGGAAGCAAGGAGAAGCGCGAGTTCCTGCTGAAGCGATTCCCCAAGCTGCAGGCCCGTAACATTGGCAACTCCCGCGACACCTCCTTTGAGCAGCTGGTGATGCGCGAGACCAAGGGTCGCGGTGTGGATCTGGTGCTCAACTCACTGTCGGAGGAGAAGCTACAGGCCTCGATCCGCTGCTTGGGTCTGAATGGACGCTTCCTGGAGATCGGCAAGTACGATTTGAGCAACAACAGCCCGCTGGGCATGTCTGTGTTCCTCAAGAACACCTCCTTCCATGGCATCCTGCTCGACAGTGTGATGGAGGGCGAGGAGGAGATGCAAAACCAGGTGGTCAACCTGGTGGCCGAGGGCATCAAGAGCGGAGCCGTTGTGCCCCTACCCACCTCAGTGTTCAATGACCAGCAGGTGGAGCAGGCCTTCCGCTTCATGGCCTCCGGCAAGCACATCGGCAAGGTGGTGATCAAGGTGCGCGACGAGGAGGCCAGCAAGAGTGCAGTCCAGCCCAAGGCGCGCCTGATCAACGCCATTCCCCGCACCTACATGCACCCGGAGAAGAGCTACATCTTGGTCGGAGGTCTCGGCGGCTTCGGCTTGGAGCTGACCAACTGGCTGGTGACTCGCGGAGCCCGCCACATTGTGCTAACCTCGCGCTCCGGCGTGAAGACCGGCTACCAGGGTCTGATGATCCGCCGCTGGCAGGAGCGTGGCGTCAAGGTGGTGATCGATACCAGCGATGTGACCACCGCCGCGGGAGCCAAGAAGCTGCTGGAGAACAGCAACAAGCTGGCCCTGGTCGGAGGCATCTTCAACCTGGCCGCTGTGCTGCGCGACGCTTTGATTGAGGATCAGACCGCCAAGGACTTCAAGACGGTGGCGGATCCGAAGGTGACGGCCACCAAGTTCCTGGATCAGTACTCGCGCACCATCTGCACGGAGCTGGACTACTTCATCTGCTTCTCGAGCGTGTCCTGCGGTCGTGGCAACATTGGCCAGACCAACTACGGACTTGCCAACTCCGCCATGGAGCGCATCTGTGAGCAGCGCCAGGTGAGCGGATTCCCGGGCACGGCCATCCAGTGGGGAGCCATCGGAGACACGGGTCTGGTGCTGGAGAATCTCGGCGACAACGACACCGTGATTGGAGGCACTCTGCCCCAGAGGATGCCGTCCTGCCTGCAGACCATCGACCTCTTCCTGCAGCAGCCGCACCCAGTGGTTGCCTCCATGGTGGTGGCCGAGAAGCGCAAGTCGGACCAGTCGGCGGGTGTCAGCCTGATTGCCACCATTGCCAACATTCTGGGCCTGCGGGACACCAAGAACATCCAGGATGCTGCATCGCTGGCTGACCTCGGCATGGACTCCCTGATGAGCGCCGAGATTAAACAGACGCTGGAACGCAACTTTGACATTGTCTTGTCTGCCCAGGAGATCCGCCAGCTTACCTTCGGAGCCCTGAAGGCGATGGATGGTGGAGCGGAAACCAAGCCTGCCGCCGCTGCTGCAGCAGCTCCTGCCGCTGCTCCTGCTGGAGCTAAGCCGGTCGAGGTGAACATCACCCCGGGTGCGTCATCACGCACGGCCAGTCCGCTGGGTGATGGCACCCAGGTCGTCTTCACCACCGCCCTCATACCCACCGAGGCCATCGTCCGCCTGCAAACCAAGGCGCCGGCGACCAGCAAACAGAGCCCCATCTTCTTCATTTCCCCGATCGAAGGATTTGCCTCCGCTTTGGAGCCGCTGGCCAGGCGATTGGAGGTGCCCGCCTATGGTCTTCAGTTCACGGACGCCGTGCCCTATGACTCCGTCGACTCTGCCGCCAGGTTCTTCATCAAGCAACTGCGCACCGTCCAGCCCAAAGGTCCCTACAAGCTGGCTGGCTACTCCTTCGGCTGTCTGCTCACTTACGTGATGGCCGCCATTCTGGAGGAGAGCAACGAGGTCGCCAATGTGATCATGTTGGACGGAGCACCCACCTATGTCAACTGGTACACGAGCAGCTTCAAGCAGCGCTACACGGCCGACGATGATAACAACAACCAGAGCTACGGCCTTGCCTACTTTGGCATCGTTCTGGCCAACATCGACTACAAAGCGGTAAGCATAAGCGCAGCCAAGGCCTCGTTTATAGATTATTTATGATTTCTGTTTCCTTATTCCAGCTGGTGCGACTGCTATTGGTGATCCCCACGTGGGAGGAGAAGCTCGAGAGGTTCGCTGAGCTGATGAGCAATGAGATCACACAGCCCGTGGAGACGGTAAGACCCTACAGACTTATAGAAAGGAAAAAGTTATTTATACATTGTTATTAATACAGATCAAGAAGTCCGCCAAGCTGTTCTACAAGAAACTGGAGCTGGCCGACGGCTACAAGCCCACGCTGAAGCTTAAGTCCAACGTGACCCTGGTCAAGCCCACAGATAACTCTGCCAAGCTGGACGAGGACTATCGTCTCAAGGAGGTGGGTTCGAAGGAGACAACTTAAAGTAAACCAGGTGCTAATGGATATCTTATCTATATTTGCAGGTCTGCACAAAGCCCGTGGAAGTTCACACCGTTGAGGGCAACCATCGCACATTCCTCATCGAGGATCAGTCCCTGAAGACCATCCAGAGCATACTGAAGCGTCTGTTCAACTAGACTAAGGCCAAGGCAGAGGAGGATTTAGCATAAGAATTGTGGATGTGGCCCAGTGCAGCACTCACGCTCCCTAATCACCGCACATTGCATCCAATACTCGAGCGCACACATCGACAACTAGTTAGCATATTTAGTGAAAGAATTTACGTTGTTGAGCCGCAAGGAATAGCTCTACCCCCATCCCAGTTACGCGCAGCCAAACTGCTGTCTTGCAGCGCCTGTGGACTGTGGTCCAAATTAAGTCTACAGTCGCTGCGATTCCGGGCAGTTGAGTGGCCGATGCTGGATCGCACTTAACGCTTCGTGTGCACCGCAGAGAAGAGTTCAGTAATCCCGACATTCCTTGAAAGCTACAGACGGCCCTAGACGTCCCAACTTACCAAAAATATATCTTATATGCTCTTATCTGTAACGTATGTGTATACTTGTCGCATATTCTAGTTTAGTTACGTAGTCTGTAAGCCAAAACAGTTTGTAATGAATTTCATTCCTCGAAACAGCACACAAAATTTGTTATCTCTTGATGTATAAAATAATCGCCCAAGAACGATCACTCATGAATATTGTGGATATTAAAATTACACCATTCTATTGTATACTGGATAAAACTGAAGTGTTTTCATTAATACGTTGGATTGTGGGTTTAATGGAAATACAGCAAACAACTTTAAAATGAGCTTGTTGTTAAAATCAATTTTTATACCCTTGCAGGGTATTATAATTTCAGTCAGGAGTTTGCAACGCAGTGAAGGAGACGTTTCCGACCCTATAAAGTATATATATTCTTGATCAGCATCAACAGGGGAATCTTTCTAGATATGTCAGGAAGAAATCGATTTTTTGGCCATTTTTGCAAAATTTTATAAGGGGTTACATCATTAAAATTTTTGATTTCGATAAAAAATTGAATTTTCAAAATTTTTAAATGAAGTGTGCAGATTTATTAACAGTAGAAAATTTTGCACAGAACAGTTTTCCGATTTAAAATTAATGCTCTTTTGCCCGAGTTATGATATTTTTAATTTTAAAAAAATCAAGGAGGTTTTTAATATAAAAAATCCGATTTTATAATACAAAATAATATTTTTCTAAGTCAAGGAATCATTTCCGACCCCATAAAACATATTTATTCTTGATCAGCATCAACAGGGGAATCTGTTTTTGCATTGCAAAAACCATGCGAAAATGGGGAGAAAAACCTGAAGATTTCTCCAAACATCAAGCGCTCAGAATGTGGAATAGGGAGCACTAGCAAAGATTAACAAAACTCTTTGAGAGAAAGCATTAACATATGGAGAATTTGTTCGAGGCAGAAGAAGGAGCAAGTGAGCAAAGATAGCTCTTTGACTTAATGGCTCTTTAGAGGATTAGCTTTGGTAGTTGATAGTTATTATACAAAAGGAGTTAAGTCCTTGCCTTAAGCATTACCCCCTTGTCACCATAATAAAAACATTCATACATTTTTGAAACAATTACTTATTTATTTAAGGGTTTTTTGAAATTATTTAGCAAAAAATATTCATGGGATTTGTATCTTTTCTGTATTATTATATTTATTATTCTGTTTTGTTTTATATTTTTCACTTGCATCTTATTTTGGATGGTTTCTGCACCGCGTACACCCTTGACAAAATTCCTTTAAACATCTGTTGTTAGGACTCCCTAATCTCTCACATACATATAATAAAAATAACATACTTAAAAGTTAATGACAATGCTGCTGTGTGTGTGTGTGTGTGTGTGTTATCCTGAACCTATACATATAAAACTCGCATGTTCCGGATACAATCCAATGATAACAAATTAAAAACGTAACGTAAACTAATGTAGTTAGGCGAAGTATATAATATAACTAATACAAGATATTCATAGAAATACATAGATAGCGAGCGAGATAGTACAAACTAATTTAATTTGATTTCTTGCATTCATTGTTTATCGCTTTTTTTATAAGGCATTAAAGACTAAATAATAATAAATACGACGAGTGTACATCCTAGAATTTTCATATATAAAACACAAAATTAAAGCTTAGGTCCTCTAACATTCTAATTGGTATAATTATATTATGTTTTTGTGGCGGGGAACGTACCCCTTCATCCCTACGAATAGAGCGGGGGCAATAGGGGCTTTGTTTATCAATTAAGGACATCAAGTGAGTCGATTTGAGCGCAAGGGAGGATTGGATCTCTCGGGTAACACATATGTACGATATCAGCGATTGCGAGTTGCGGTTAGAATACAATATCAATATCGCTAATCATACAAATATATATATTTATTTATGGTTATGGTTATGGTTATTGTACTTTATATGCTAGTATTCATACTGTTTCAGCTAAATGCTACCCATTATTACTGTTACTTTGAAACTGGTTGAAATCTCTAAAATATTGTAGCTGCTTTTGTGCCGTCCCTTTAAAATGTTCACTTTACTTTTATTGTTTTTTATCCCCCTCCCCGAAATTGTTGCTGTGACGGCTTCGCTTGCTGTGTGCTCGACTAATTGGTATAAGTATTGTTTATGTTTATAGTAAATGAGCTGGTTCAAAATGCAAATATTTACACAAACGAATTTAAGAACGTACGAATAGCGATACATATTTTGTTCGTATATATACGGGTTCTTATAGAAGTGAAAACGCCAAGCTATGCTTCGCACCCTTAAATCTCCGAGTCCTCCGCGCGGCCAGTGGCGACTCCCTGCCATCAGCAACTGTATTTGTTGAACAAACATGGGTTTCTCACGCTCTCGCTTTAAAAGCTATCATCGCTGTTCTCGCTCTCGTAAGCCTCTTCGGCTGCCTCGGCGATCTGGTCTATGTGGCCGATCTGGTCGATCGGCTCCTCGTAGGCACCATGTCATGCCAGTCCGCTGGCTTCGGCGGCGGCGTCCTCTGACCAGCTAACCTCCATCGGTGTGCACGGTAGGGCCTCCTCGATGGACATCCGAGATGGCGGCTGCTTGGGAATCTTGAATAGCGATCCCCCCGAAGCAGTGCTCGATGCGGATGAGCTGCGCATCATATCCTCGGAGGATGTCGAGCAGCTCTCGTCCTCGGAATTGGCACCTGAGACCATGGCCTCGCCGGCGGACTCCTGGATCTCCTGGAACTTCTTGGTCTCATTCGACATTAGCTTCATGGTGGAGCTGCGCGGACGCACCTCCAAAGACGGTGGCTGTGGCGAGCTGGAGCACAACGGGCCATCTTCATTCCAGTCGGGCAGTGTTAGTCCGTCCGATTGTCTCGGCCGCCGGATGGCAGGTGAAACGCAGACTCCAGAGCTGGAGGCCGAGTCCTTGGCGCACACAGAGAAAGATCGAGTTCGGGAAACAGGGTGTCCCTCTGGCTCGCCAGCAGTCCTTAGCAGGGTCGTGGCCGACATGCTCTGGCTTAGAGGATTGGGATGAGCCGGCGAAGAGCCGCCATTGGTGCCAGCGCCGTTCGAGTGACCATTTTGACCCACAGTCTGTCGCCTCTGGATGACGCAACGCTCGCTGTTACACCTTAGAGAGCCCGATCTCCGCACAATCTTGGCGGGCCCACCTTTCGGCGCTTCGTCGTCGATCTCCAGGGTCCAGCTGACCGAGTCGTTGCGCTCGATCATGCCCTTCATCACCGGCGAAGTGGGCGAAGATGTGGTGCCGGAGAACTCCAGGCTGCTGCGGCCCAAGGAGCAGCGACTGTGCATGGAATTCAGCAGGCTGTTGTCCTGAGAGCTGATGGACAGTTCGTGTATCTTGATCTCGGCTGCTTGGAGCTGCTCGGAGCGCTGCTTCAGGTGGTACTGGAGTTCCTCCTTGGCGTACGTCAGCTTGGTGAGCTTCATCTTCTCAAATTCGACGGACTTGCCCAGTTCTTCTACCTTTTGTTGTGATTCCCTGGGAGAAGAGAGAAATAAGGTTAGATTCTGTTCAGTCCTTAATAGATGTTTAAGTTACTTACTTCTCTTTTTCCGTTTTGGCTTCCAGTTCTGTACGCATCATCTCATTCTGAGCTTCTAGGAGTGCAACGCGGCTGCTCAGCTTGCTGCGTTCCTCGCTTTCGCGAATGTATTCCGCCTGAGCCTTGCTGAGGGCGGAGATCTCCGCCTGCTTCAGCTCGAGGACACAGCGCAGGCTGTCGGCCTCGCTGGTCAATCGGCTGACCTCAGCACTGGCCGTATCTGGGAGACTGGTGCAGGGACTTCGGCGTTGCGAGGAGGTGCGCAGCACTGAGATCTCATCCTGGGAGAGTGCCAGGCGATCCCTCAGGTCGCGCTCGTTGTTCTCCTTGCTGGCCTTCAAACTATTCAGCTCCTTGGTTAGACTCTTGACCCGTTCGCTGAGCTCTTGCTCGCGCTGATTGGCCTCCGACAGGCGGATGGCATGGGAGTTCTCCTTGCGCAGGAGTTTCTCCTGCATCTCCTGCTTCTGCGTCTCCGACTTCTGAAGGCGGGCCTCCAGATCCAGGATCTTTTGTTCAGCCGTGCTCAGTTGTTCCTGCTTGAGGGCTAGCTTGTTGGACACCTCATTGTGATAGGCCTGTTGCACCTGTTTGTTCTCCTCATCCTTGGCCAGCAGTTGGGATTCAAGTTCGCAGAACCTTTGTTTGGCAAGCATTTGTACCTCCATTACTTTCTCTTCGGCTGTAAGATAAAGGGAGAGTTATTATTCTGTTTAGAAATGCTAGAACTCTTTGAATGTACCTTGCTTCAGTTCAGTGCGATGCAGATGCTCCTGCTCCTGCTGGCGCTGCGCCCACTCGAGATCCTTGGCCTGCAGTTCCTCGCGCAGCTGCTCGCAGTCGTTCTGCTTTAGTTGCAGCAATAAAATCGTCTCCTCCAGTGTTCCCTTGGCTCGGGCACACTGCTCTTTGGTCTCCTGGCAGCCAAACGTATCTAGCTGTAATCCGGAAAAGATCGAAAAAACAATCACGGTTAAAGTCGCTATAAATTCTCGGGGTCATGGCAGGTAGTAAGGTTGTCTCGTGCAATTAAAATGAAATTTTCATTGCAACTTCAAGAGTTTTGCACGGAAGTCGAACAAAAGGGAAGCTGTTGAGTGGCGAAGACAATGTCTCTGAGCCAGGGAATTTCCACAGAGCATACAATGGCTTTGAGGGCCTCGTCTGCTAGGTTTTTGTGTCATGGTCAGAGGTTGTCGGGGGAAATCCCACACACAATTTTAATGTTTTTATATTTTTATATGATCTTAGAATTTCTCCGAAGAGTATATAATGATTTTTGAATTGAGTTCTTTACATTTATTTCATGTCTCTGAAAATTTCTAAAGACAGCAATTTCTATAATCGATATTTATATATAATTGATTCCCGTATTAACTCCATATATGTATATCTTCTCTTAAGCATACCTTTTGCTGCTCGAATCCCTGATCAAAGTTTATGGTATCCATATAGGTTGCTTCACTGGGAGTGCCGGGCACTGCCCAACTGATCAGATCAAAATCCATGGTCTGGGCCGATAGTGTCTCGTTGGTGAAGACCAAATTTTCAAACATTTTGCTTTCGTTGCGTCGAGTTGTGTTGAACACGAATACTTGAAGTACACTGATGGCTACATTTCCACTGCCTTGGGTTTATATAGCCAAGAATGGGCAGGTAGCGAAGGATCGGTAGGTGGACTCTCTCAGGTAGCCAGGGATCAAGCGAAACTCTCCGGATATGGACAGCAAAATATTTACAAGGGATTTAAACCAGACGAAGAACATGGAAAAAAACAACATGCTGGGAAAGGGTGAAAGGTTGCTCCAGTCGGCACAGAAGAAGAAAAAAACTGAGACATGCAATCTGGTGGGTGTATCCTTCGGTGGCCAAGGCAAAAGGGGCGGCAGTACACGCCCTTTGCTGAAAGAAGGATTCCACCTCGGATCGGATCCACCCAACGAAGGCTTAAGCGATCGCTGGCCAGATTCATGTGGTTTTTGGGATTGGTCACGCGCGTCTTCGTCTGCCAGCCAGAGGAAGGCAAGACTCTTTTCCCTTTATCGTTTTTGGGGCGGCTTGAATGCACTTCAATTTCGCTGTAATGGCGCGCACCTTCTCTGCAACACTTTGGGTGGATGCGTGTCAAAGTAACCGAGCGCCTCAGCATGATTTAGGAGAGTGCCTTTGGAGTGGATGTTACAAATTTGATTTGACTATTACAAATCGCAATTTGCACAGGCTCTTGAACAGCTTAACTGTGATCAATGTAAAGGGATTAGGAATGGTTGTTGAACAGCACAAAACACCTATATTTCGTTAATTTCATATACTTGAAAAGTCTAATGATTTGCATCTGAATTGTGATGGTCTAAATCGATTAGAAAACCCGCCAATCGCCGCGTCGAAGCTGAGCTGATCCCCAAATTAAAAGTGGCCGACCAAGCGATGCATGGTAATGCAAATTGCCTTATCCACGCCCGTCGTCGTCATCGCCGCTGTCGCCGCCGCCGCTCCTCGTCCGGCAAATTAATGGCCATCATGTCGCTGTCTCCGAGAAATCTCTGTCGCAGTCGAAGTCATCGTCTCCGTCTCCTCGCCTCAGTGGCAATCTAGGCATCTTCGATGCCGCCGGATGACAGTTTTGGGTGACAGTCAGTCAAAGGAGGCAAGAGCAAGTCGAAGACAGCGGCAATTACCTGACAAGGACGTTTGCAATTAAAGTGTTGAAATTAGTGACTTGCCGCCGTGAAAAACTGGGCCGACTGGTTGTAATCCTTTTGGATGTTTCTCTCTCTCTAAACACTACCAGTACATATCTGGGTCTGGAGCACTGCCATCACACGATTGTCCTTCGCTTAAAGACCTCATAAAAATGGACACGAGCCTGGACCCGTGTCCTTGTCCCTGCATACCTTGTCGGTTGCTCTTCCTCGGTTTTCACACCCAACTGTGAAATCTCGCTGGATCATAACTAAATAAATATTTATGTTCGGACTGTTGCAACATCAGTTTAGGCTTTTAGTGGGAAAATATTGCGCGATTGCCTCGTTCCCCGGAAAATTTCCCAACCCAAGCAAACAAATCCGCCTTGCGGATGCATTGCGCGCTGCTTGTTTGCTTTTGCGGCCTAAATGGTACCCGATGCATCCAACAAGTTAGCCAAATATTGTGGCTTACTCTCCCATAATTCCCCTTAATAACACTATAGGTTCTGTTGTTATAAAAAGTGCATAAAATAAATACAAAAATGGTTGCTAGAAAAATATGCAAATTGCATTAGAGCATGTGTAAGCGCCAACGAAAAGCAAATAGTTTAGTTCGTTGGAAATGTTTGTGATTTATAAAAGGTATTACAAGTTGTTTTTAATAAAAATAGAAGATAAATATAAACAATTAGCTTAGGAACATTTGCCAGCGTCAAAATGATATCCTTCGGGTTTTAGAATTTCTTTAACAACTAAAGGAATTCAAGTTGAACAAAATCTGCCTTAAGACTTCCCTTAAAAAGAACTCAACAACTTTATCTCGACACACTTTTTAATGCCTTTAAGGAAACCCCATAATGTATATAGTTTTTCCACAAATTACACTTCCGCTTCGTCCTGCTGAAATTTCCCCAGCTCAAGGTGCAAAAATTCCGGCAGCAGCTTAAGGGATTCTGGAATTTTTCTCCACATTAATGACTTTCCTTTCGGAAAAGAACAAAAAAAAAGGGAGAAGAATTGTTAGCAAATGGCCAACGCAAATGACATCAATACAATGCCAACACCTGATGACGCATATTGTGCCAAGACAAGGAATTATCCTTGTGGCATTGTGTCACGCTCGGCTTGCATAAGACCGACTAAAATCAGCTGCATATATCCTCTGGCAATTGTTTCGATTATCCTGCGTAGTATACGTATGTACATACATGTGTGTGCAGCTCTAAAGCCAACGGATTTACGCAATTGTCAAACAGAGCCATGCTGGGGAAATGTGTAGGCCCAAGGCATTTTGTGTGCAAAATCCACTCTCTCTCTTGAGACTTTCTCCTCGTACAAATCAGAATTTTATAAATTCTACCTAAAGCATTTGTGGTTGAGAAGTCATCATAAATCGATTTATGATGGTCGGGAAGGGTCCTGCCACCTATGTAAATGTTAAAATAATGTTTTTCGCGTTTGTCGCTGATTTTTATGACCTTGTTATTGTTATTTAATAGTGGGACTGTCTGACAGCAGGTAAAAATTATATAAAATGCTATCCTTAACTGGTTTTTTAAGGATAAAATCTGTACTTTAATAGATTTCATTAATATATATTCCGTGAAATATTTCAGGTAAATTTGATTTAAAAAAGCAGACCATAATTCACCATCTTGCTGCCTCCTTTAACACACTTTTCTGCCCAAAATCTCGTCAAATCTCACACGTGTCCCGGTGAATTTTCATTTGTGCGATCAGAATCCTTTACACCGAAAATGGCAAACAATTAATTGAATAGCCGAACTTGGATGTGCCAGCTCCTCACACCCTTTCATTCTGTGCCCGAGAAAGGATGCTTTTGCACAAAGGATGCGATGCGGAAAATGCAGGACCAAAGGGTACAAGGGACAAGGGGTAGCAGAGAGCTGGGGATTTTCCAGCAGGGACAAACTTTTGTGTGGAATTTTCAGTTCAGTTTAGTTCAGTTTTTAATTAGTGCAAACACAAAAAGTGAGCCCACATCCGGGGCTCAGTTTCAGTTCGGTTTCAGGGTTTTCGGGCATCGGCTTTCGGCTTAGCCTGCACTGACACAATTAAACGAAATTAGCTCAACTTTAAGCATAGATTAAGGCAAATATCTCAAACAATGGAGGGTGCTGAGCATATTAAAAGGAATGTTCACATGTGGACGACCCGCGGCTGAGACAATTCGGGAATTATTAGAGCAGGTGAGCTCGATCCACAGTGGCATTGCAATTACAAAGGCAGGCAGGGAAAGGTATCTCCTCCTTAGCTCTGCATTCGATATTCCCTCAAAGGGCTGCTAGGTATAAATCCCTGGCGCCTCTTTTCCGGCAAATCCCTCACTGATCCGAGCTGTTTTTCACTCGCTGGAATTCTGCTACTCGCTGCTGTTTTACTCGCTATTCCGTTGGTTTTCTACTTACCTTTTGCGACATAAACTGCACTAGAACGGCAAGACCCATGAGTTTGCGGTGCTCTTCGAGTCGCTCGTGCTGGACTTCCTCAAATAACTTGGCCAAGCGGGCATAGTCCACGATCCCATTCTCCGTATATGGTTTCAGGGCAGGATACTGGTTGATAATGTCAATGCAGGGATCGGGCATTATTGTAAGCGAGCTGATAGTAGGCTGAATGTCTTCCGATTTGGGTTTAAACTAAAAAAATGTTGATATTTAAATTAATTACAATAAACAATAAATTGTCAAAACTCACCTCATTTGTACAAGAGAAAGTGACTGGGTTGCTATCAGCGCTTGCCTCCTGGGATACCGGGGAAGGCTCCTTGGATTCCTGTTCCTTCTCGCACTTCTTCAGCTTGGCCTCCGTCTCGCAGGGCAACTCGCTGCCAATGGACGAACGTTTCGAGTCCCTCGCTGCTGGTGGCGTTGGGCATCCGCTCGGCGTTGGGCCATTGTTCAGCTCCTGAAGCTCGGTTTGATCCACGCCAGAACGCAGGGATTCTGCAAATATAAACAAATACAAATACATTATAAAAAATAAGCACTACAATTTATTTTTCACATCAATAAGCTATTATTTTTGCTTTATCGAAAGGAGCTGTAATCTGCAGGATTACGCAACCATTGACCGGCGAAAGTGGCTGCTCATTAGCCCCGCAGATGAAAATCTAGCTGTCGCTGGAGATGATGAGCTAACGATGATGAGTTAACCGTGATTCACCCTACAATGGATCCACTCTGCTCTTCTCTTCGCAAAAAAACAAAATGAGTAATGGCTTTTATGCCCGCAAAGAAGAAGTACTTTAAGAAAAAAAAAAAACACAGCGGCAATACATTTTCTTTTGCATAATTCCATTGACAAAAGGGAAAGCAAATCGCACACTATATGTTTAGATTCATGTAGGTGTGAGTTGAACCACGCCCACCGTCACCAGCTAATAATGCCATGGGTCATCATCATCATCAATTACCCGATCCCAGATCCCAAAGATCGCCTCTCAACGGGGGGGCTGTCAATTACCGAGGATGCGTGGCCAATTTTTTTAGCCAACAAATTGGCCTTGACAAGCCGCAAGATTGAGGGGATAGATACAGGTATGTACATACAGTTGGGGACAAAACTATAGTGGCTACAATAGTAAATGATTTATTTAAGCAAGTTTTTTTTACTAAAATTTAATACAAGTAGATAAAATACCACAAAGTCATCTCTCTGAAAATCCCTTGATTTTTCATTACTATTATTTCCCCCACAACTGTTGATAAGGGGATTCCATGGGGGAGTTCAGTAACCGCCATGATCAATCCATCGACCGGGGCAACCAGTGTGTTTGTCCATAATTCAATCGATTTCCTTACAAGCCACGCGCGACTTCAAATGGAAATCGAAGCTGCGGGGCCAAACCCAAACCCAGAGTTAGAGTCTGGTGTACACTCGGATATGTGGCCATAATCAACGCTTGACGGTTTTATGTTGCCGCATAAATTTATAGCCAAGTTGTCAATGTTTGCCAAACGACAATTGCTCGTGTTCGCGACGAGAAAGCAATGAGCGAAATTTGTTTCGCGTCTCCATTGAAAACTGAGGTAAAAGAGGAGTTGTCTTCCGGAGTTGTCATCGCGATCATTACTCCGGGATGTTGGCTCGAATATTGAAAGTGAATTAAATTGTCAAAGCAGTTTGAGGGGGGTCAATGGAGCGTGAATAAACAAAATGTGAGAAGTACCTAATAAAAGTATTAAAAACTTTTAATACAATATAGAAAACATAGTCTTCATCATCTAACATTAATAATTCAATCCTCCCGAAGTCACTTAATAAAAACCTGATTTTGTAGGAAATTAATTAATGCTGTAAACCGATTAACAAATTAGTCGAAAGACCAAGCAGTTGAAAAAAGTGGATAAAATGTTGGCTTTCGGTTCAATGATTGTGCAATTTTTACAAATGAAGCAAAATACCGAAACTGTAAAGTAAACGAAACCAGATTCAAAGAAAATGTATTGCTTAAATCATTACAAAACTATTGGACTGGATTAAATCAATGTAAGCCATGTTTTTTAGGGAAATCTGCTTGTTAAAAATTTAGATTATGCTTTGAAATTTCGTTTGTGATTAAAGAATTAACTTTAATGGAATAACTAGTCATTTAAATATCTTAAACTAGACTTACTTCACTCTCAGAAAGATTCCTAGCTATATTCCTCTGTAAATTTACCTTAAATTAAGAATTTTTCTTGGCATTTCCCATTCGCTGTTGTTCTCAGAACATATTTAATAATTATTAATGGCAGACCTTCGACCAAGGCACCAGGGCACCACCTCGCACCTGATCTCGAATATCTCAATGACACACGACGCGAGCAAGTCTGGCACACGACAGGCTCACATTATTTCAAGGGACATTTCTCATGGCAATTAGGCGATTAAGTGACATTCGCTACGACCAATTAATTGCAAGGCCAAGAATATTTGCCATGGCAGAGGTTCCCAGTCCTGTTGCGGATTTTCCAACGATTTCTGAATATATTCTCACGGCCCCGAGGAATCGCAACAAGTTGACACTGGAAGGACCTCATGCGGCGACGGGTCGATTTTATGACTGAGAAACCGACCACCTCAGTAGTTATATGACAGGGTTTCGTTCCGGTTCCCATTTCATTTCCCATTTTCCTAGCCCAAAGACTGCACTTGGATTTTTACGGGTCTCGGAAAAACTCAACTGCGGGTGATTTCATTCAGAAATTTCCTCCTGTCACTTTTTTCCCGACTCTCTAGGGTGTGAAAACTGAACTGGGCGCATGGAATTTCCCAAGTTAAGGAAAGTAGTTTGTTATTTGATGGGTAAATTAAATAGATTTGTATTTAAAAAGGTTTGAAGGGAAGAAAGATTTACCGAAGAATATTATTATATTTAACAAAAAATTATCTAAGACTATCTTTTCTTGCTTTAATATTTGTTTAGATTTCTTTATAATCTTTAGTGATCCGTAATATATATTTAAACTGTCGTAAACTTCGACCAAGACAAATGTTAACTTGGGCAAATTACATACATTTGTTTTTTGCAACAAACCAAAAGAAAGTGTTTTGGGTGTTTTCCCCCAGACAGCGCACCTTGTGGCATTCACCAGGTGAAAAACTTGGAAAACTCTCACCCCCCATTCGACGAGATCCATCAACATCAATGTCCCGGGTTCGCAGTTGGTCAGCCGAGCTCATAATGACGGTTTTGGGTTTCAGTTTGGGTTTCGGGTTTGGGTTTTCGGACTTTTCAGCTAAATCGCGACATGTGTCTAGGCGAAAACCGATGCTGTGCACAGTGGGCAGCGTGCGTTGCTGTGACACTGAGCGGACAGTGGGACTGACGGACTGACGGACGGACGGACAGGTGGTGGTGAGCGTTGGGCGATGGAAAATAATTGAAATTCCGAAATATCTTATTTGGCATTAGGCAGCTGTCTGTTGCAGTCAGTGCTTGCTGCTGCTGCTGCCTCTGCTGTTGTGCTGCAGTGTTGCTGCCTTTTAAGTGAATTTTTGGAAAACTCAACGCAACGCAGCGGCAACCTGTCTTAACCCATGGCGACCCACAAAAACATGTCCAATGAAAATGCGCGTAATTAAAGCGAACAACAGCCAGTCCAAACTGGCAACTGGCATTTCAATTAGCTGCGTTTTGGAGAAGCAAAAAACACTTCACTTGCCTCGACTTATAAAAAAAACTAAACGTCCAGCGGCCGTATCTCTGTATATCTATCTGTATCTGTATCTGTATCTGTATCTTTGTATCTGGTTTATTTCGCGCTTAGGTCGACTCAATGGACACTGACTTTTCAGTTAAATGGGCAAGGGTTGTCAGGGGAGCAGCGGCTTTACTGCTCTGCCTTGCTTTAATTGCAATTTAACAGCAAATTGTTTTAGCAACAAGCCAGAAGCACACTTTCCAGTGGGCGCGAGTCAAGTGGCGAGCAGTGAATTTGTGCGTTTTACTCGACATATTTGAACTGAAAAAGATAACTCAAGTACGCCAGAGGGAATCATTTATGAGAAGCATTAGGGAATTCCAAGGATTTCAGCTACAAAAAGATTGTAACTATTAAGAATTTAAATATCAAGACTATGTTTAAACCGAATAGCTAACAAGAAAGAAAGCTAACTTTGGCCAGGTAACAATTAAAATATATCATAACTAAGCCAAAAATGCATTAATTTCGATTCGGAAAGCAGTTTTGTGTTAGTTTTTATTAATTTAAAAAAACTGCATAGCAAATTTAAAATTTTAAGAAATCAAAATTTTTGGCCATTTTTGCTAATTTTAATGATGTAACCCCTTATCAAATTTCACAAAAATGGCCAAAAAATCGATTTCTTCCGGACATGTCTAGAAAGATTCCCCTGTTGATGCTGATCAAGAATATATATGGTTTATGGGGTTGGAAATGATTCCTTGACTTAGAAAATATTATTTTGTATTATAAAATCGGATTTTTTATATAAAAAAACTTCTTGATTTTTTTTTTAATTAAAAAATATCATAACTCGGCCTAAAGAGCATTAATTTTAAATCGGAAAACTGTTCTGTGCAAGATTTTCTACAGTTAATAAATCTGCATACTTCATTTAAATTTTGAAAATTCAATTTTTTATCAAAATCAAAAATTTTAATGATGTAACCCCTTATAAAATTTTGCAAAAATGGCCAAAAAATCGATTTCTTCCTGACATGTGTAGAAAGATTCGCATGTTAATGCTGATCAGGAATATATATGGTTTATGGGGTCGGAAACGTCTCCCTCACTGCGTTGCAAACTTCTGACTGAAATTATAATACCCTGCAAGGGTATAAAAATGGAGAGTAAATAGGAATAGATATCTTAAAGTATACACATTTTAAATTGTTAAGCAGTCATAATTCACTCTAATTTACATAGAACATATAACAAATAATAAATAAAATATCTTTTTTAAAAGCTTCAGCAGCTTAAATGATACATATTTTGGCGTCATCTGATCTAAAAAACCGGAAAAGCCATCGCACACAAAACCAATTAACAAATTTCTCTCAATTCAATTGAAGCAAACAGATGAAAGAACGATTCAATTCATGTAAACAGTATTTGCACTAAATTATGCATCTTGCCGTTCGATTTGTTTGCTTCAAAAATAAGACCAGCAGCAGCCGGGTCATTATAAACAACTCTCCATAAACGAGGGGGACTGAGGCCCAGCGGAAGGAACTTTTCAGGCCATTCGCACAACGGATAAGGCAGAAGATCAATTTCTGCTAAATGTCAATCAGAGGGACTGAAAGAAAAGCTGCCAGCATTGTCGGTGATGAAAGACATATATCCAGCGATTTATGGCACACAAAAGATTTTTATTTCAGCCATTACCCCATTCGATATTGTTTTTAATTCTGATTTGTAGTTTATGCGTCTACGCAGCGCAATTCCCTAGACAAAACGCACATTTCAAGGTCGCAGAGTCGTTGCTTGGCGCA